GGAATAGAAAGAAGAACTAGTAACAAAAATTAATAGTGTCTAACTAGTGTCAACAATGGAGTAAATCACGTCTATCTAATTTAGAACTTAATAGAAATGAATAAAAGCATATATCACGTCATACAGATCTTCTGTGTGAATTGGTGACTTCATTGCTGATAATAGAAATGAATAAAAGCATATATCACGTCATACAGGTCTTCTATGTGAATTGGTGACTTCATTGCTGATAATGGGGATCCAAATGGGAGAAAAGTCCAAACTGGGTTGGCTAATTGGGTTGGCCGAGCATGCCATATGGGCCGTTTCCTTGTATTTCCTATACCTGATATGGCTTTCAATATCCAAAATCTTAGCTTCATCCCAGCCTACCCTATGTCCCTCTTCATAGGCATGTTGGGCTAGTTTAGATTTTTCTAGAAGACCTTCTTTTAGGTTATGCCTATGTTCCCGGAGCCGCACGGCCAGAGGTCTGCCTGTTTCGCCAATGTAGCTTCTGCCACATTCACAGGGAATGCTATAGACGCACTGTGCCGTCTGTTGCGGATATCTTTTTGGTCTGGTTTTTATAAGGGAGTTCCTAAGTGTGTGTTTCGTACGGAAGATGGTCCTAATATTATATCGATTACCTATCCGTTTAAACTTTTCAGAAACACCCTTCACATATGGAATATAAACAGAACACAGAGGGCTTTCCTCTTTCTTCGGACGACTACTGCCCTTGGAATTAATGACCGAGTCAATAAAACCTTTGGGATAACCGTTCAACTGAAGATCGTGTCTCAGGTTGTTAATTTCTCTGACCAAATCTCGTCGATCTTGGCATATGGTAGAGGCTCTGTCGTGGAGACTTTTTATCAAGCCTCTTTTTACATGCGGCGGATGGTTAGAATTGAAGTTGAGGTATTGGCCAGTGTGGGTGGGTTTCCTGTAGACCTGTGTGGCTAGTGCCGTCTTTTCCCTGATGACCAGAACGTCCAGAAATGAGATCGCATTGTTAGACTCAGTTTCCATGGTGAAGCAGATGGAAGGCCTTAAACTGTTGAGGTGGTCAAAGAAAGTCTGTAATCTCTCTGGACCATGAGGCCAGACTACAAAAGTGTCATCCACGTATCGCAGCCACAACGATGGTTTGTATGGAGCTGAGTCAAGAGCTAGTTTTTCAAAATGCTCCATGAAGATGTTGCTAACGATGGGCGAGAGAGAATTTCCCATAGCCATGCCATCTTTCTGTTGGAAGAACTTGTCGTCAACCTGAAAATAGGTGGTTCTCAAACAGACTTCCAGCAGCTCCATGATGGCTCCAATTTGTTATGAATATTTTTCTTATTAGCTCTCATGGACTTAGCCTGGTCTCAGGTGTTTATAATCTTCATGTTTTGTGACATCGGTTTGTCCGGTGATTGAGGCTAGCTCTTTCTAACGGATCCAATAGAATAGGTGTTTTCCTTCACCTGAGGACGGAAACAGATCCAGTTTCTGAAACGTCGTGTTTTTATTAATTATCTTAAAAACCAGGGTGATGGATAAAGTCCAAAAACCCAATATATCAGTGTAGATGTCTTATGTTATGTAAACAATAGAAATCAGGGTTGAAGAGTATATTTGCATTAGACAGCAATCATGGTTCATGCACTTTTAATAATCATCTGCAATTTATGGTTCTCCATGATGGTCATCTAACATGTGCATATAATCTTGCAGATATTTATCATTGTTGTGGAGTGTATGGACGCAGTTGGCCCCTCCATAACATAGTTGACCTTTCAAAGTAGGGGAATTTAATCACTTGACTATAGCATCAGACAAGAGCGTTATTTAAGGGTATTTAACAAGGGTGTTTAACAAGCATTGTGTAATGATGTGAGGTATGGGGGTACGTGACGTCACTCGTGGAAACGCAGAGTTCACGTGACCCTTACTTCCTGTTGCGCCATCCACATCACATTATGATAAGGGAATTAAGAATTATGGTGTTGAATAGCCTTCTGAACAACTTCATGTATGTTCTGATTTCAGAGATCCTGTGGTATCCAAACTGTGTGCTGTATCTTTATGATTACAGAGAGACAGTGGTACCAAACTGTATTGTGTGTTTCTGATCCCAGACATATATTGGTACCCAAACTCTTGTATGTTTCTAAATGCAAAGACACAGTGATACGCAAACTGTGTGTTTCTAATTGCAGACACACAGTGGTACCAAAACTGTATTGATTGGCTAATTTCAGAGATGCATTGGTACCCAGACTCTGTTGTATATGTCTAATTGTAGAGAGAGAGTATTATCCAGTCATGTGTTTTTCTGGCCCTCATTTTACACTGGTGTCATTATATGAACTACGTAATGTCAAAAATGTAGGATGATTGATGAATGTTATATTGGAATGGTTTCGGAGGAAGTTGTCAAGGCCTAATCAGGGTACAGGCATTTGTCTGGAAGGGAATTAGGAGAACCACGAAAGATTTCAGCCATGATTTTGAATTGAGCACAACCAAGATACAAATCTAGACCATTATTGCTGTGCCAACCGCTCACTAACTCAGTATTTTATGTTTCTGATTACAGAGACACAGTGGTACCCAGACTCAGGCAGAACTTCAGATGAAGCACTCTCTTCATATCCAACATATGTTGGGAACATCGCCGCTTACTACTCCACACATTTCACCTTCTCCTTCCCCACCCATAAACCAGAGTCCTTCATCAATACCAGGTATGTGGACTGTGGTATTGGTAGTACACACTGATTGCTTTGGCGATCCACTTTATTGAATTGAATTAGCTTATCATGTCTACAATGAGTACTGTGGGGAAAGTTTAATTTAATGGTTTTCCAGTTAGAAGGTTCAAAAAATTCTGAAGTCCATTAAAAGCTTTGAGCCTACAAAGTTTTATCTGAAAATCTGAAGGGAATAGGCCAGTTGGAAGATCTAGGCTTAGATGGGAGGACTATATTAGAGCAAGTAGAGCTGTTGCTAATCAATGACCATCAGATGGGTGTATGTACCAGGGCTGTTTCTGGGCAAGAGCTCGGTAAACAAGTTCTCACAGCAACAGACACAAACGCAACAGTAGAAGAGCTATGTTTTCTAGTTGGTCCATGCAGAGATGTTATAAGCAAGGGACAAGGTTAGAGCTGTTCTGTACAGGAGTCTGTGTAAAGAGGACTTGAGCCCAGAGGCAGAGGAATAGCCATTGTTGGAGTCGATACCATGAAACTTCTAATAACAGACTGAGAACACTAAACTGTGAACTGTAAGTTGTGGAAATAGTGATAGTGTTATAATTATTTGTATTTATGACCTGTGAGTTGTCAATAAATATATTTACCTATCCAAACCCTCTCTATAGTCGTACTGCCTGACAGTTGGTGTCAGAAGTGGATGGATTGGAGACTGCAGTAAGAAGCTATATCACCACACTATAGAAGTCGAACAAATGATGGCACACCTGCTGAATGATATAAGAACTAACCAAGGGGAAATGAGAACCACCCAAGAAGAAGTGAGAGCCAGCCAACAACACCTGAAAGAAGAAATGAGAGCTGGCCAAGAATTCCTGAAAGAAGAAATGCTGCACAAATCAGACACCCATCACAGAAGGACGATGGCCAAGATGAACACCCAGCTAAAGAAAATGGAGGCCTGTCTAGAAAAGATGGTTGCCGCAGATTTGGAGGCAGAAGAAATAAAAGTCCAAGGCAGAGCATAAGGAGGTCCCTAAAGAAGGGAAACTTTTGGAGCACTGAAGAACCCACATGGGGACCAACATCTAGCTGTAAGATGTCACCAGAAGCTGAAGAAACAGACCCAGGGCAGTGGTGGGTCCCAGAAGAAGTTGGCTGCTGCCTGCAGAGAGATGACCCAATGTGCCATTCCTACACGGCATAAGGGACACTGTTGTCAGGGACAAGGCAAGGACAAGGCTGTATCGAGAACCCAGAAAGGTTGGACATTTGGGAAGAGACATCTGGTGAAACTGGAAGGCATCAGTGGAATGGTTTCAAAGAGCATGTACGTCTGAGGAAGGAGAGGACATCCAGCAGGATCTTTGGGAAACCATCAAAAGACCAACTTTGTGCAATGATATGTGTTGGCTTCATAGAAGTTAACCCTGTTTCAGGTATGTCTGAAGATCAGCATTTGTGCAAAATGAGCAAATTGCAAATGTGTCATACAGCAAAGTTTAAGTAGAATTTGTTTAGTGTGCACCAGAGCATGAAAGTAGAGCTGCAAGGAAAGAAATTGATGTAGATGAAACGAGAATAAGACAATGGAGAGGTGAAAAGGAAAAACTAGAATTTCTGAAAAGGAATGTGCAATTCATTGTAAAAATTTCCAGTATCCACTTGTGGAGGCTAAAATACAAGTATATCAGTATATTATGATTGCATGGAAAAACAGTGCAGTTAAGAGCCAGCAGGCAATGAAGTGCGCATGGAAGCTGAAGAATCTCAACTGTTAGATGCTGTTACCATGGAATGACTTAGCATGTGCTGTTATGATTTGTAAAGTGTGGTGATCAGCGGTGGTGCTGTAGTTAAGTGTAGTCACAAGTTGTATGTTAAAGTGGTCAGTAAATCCAACCTCCAATCAACCCCCCATCAATAGTTACTCATACATGTAACAATATAATTGCCAGGTTTTTTACTCAGGTATTTATTTTCTGCTTTCTAAAAGCAATTTTACAAGGAAACTGTTACCAGAAATTAACAGAAGCAGAGAATGGGCTCTTGGTAAGTTAATTTTAACATTTTTCACTTTTCTCAGAAATTAACAGTCTCTCCTCAGGGTTTTACAACATACAATACCAGCATCATGGACTCAGGTATTTAAAGAATAACTGCGTTTCTTGGGAGATGTAGTTTTTCTAAACAGCTTACTTAATATTTTGTATTTAAGTCACACCCCAGTTTTGGGGGTTACTTTCATCAAAAAGTGCTCCTTATACACACACACACACACAAATATGATATATTCTGCCATTTCAAACGTGTTTCATCCAATATCAAAATTTAAAAATTTGAAACTGTTCATATTTGAAGATATATAGGGATTCAGATCAATAATTTAAGAGAATTATTTCCCAATATTACATCTCACTTAAGAACCTTATTGAATAATTAAACTTTTCTCTATTTTGCAGGGTCACCAATACATCACCACCACCACCATCATAATCTACCACTTAGTTGTAATGAAGCCAGTAACATCTCTCTTACTCATCATCTACAGCGGTTACATCTGCAGCAGCAGCAACAGTCTACGCCTCAACAAAACCCATCTCCAGAATCATCATCTCTGTATCCGCACTTTCTCCAACATGGCTGTTCTTCACCCTCTTCTACTCCTGCAGTCACTGCGGGTTCTACTAGTGTAACGTCCATTACTCAGGGTATTAGTGGTTTGTCCACAAACACTGGCTCCATCACACAAGGGACACCAAGTTCAAGTAATAATGGTGCTCTGAATCTAGCTGCCACCATGCCTCTTGATCTGCGAGTGCAAGCTGCAGGGTCTTCTTCACCACACCACCCAATTCACCTGCATCACCGTTCACCTGCCACAACGCCACTCCAACATTCCCCTTCAAATTCACCATCACTTGGTATGATCCAGGAAGAGAATAACTCAGCTTTCCATCTGCACCATGTTATTGGACTGGATGATGTCTTATATAATGATGAATCAATCATGAAAGCAAGAATTCATCTTGGAAACAGTGCTGTGCATAGGTGGCAGTCGAGGCAGGTGCAGCAGCCATACAGCCCCCATCATCCTCAGATATCTGTAACAGATGAGCTGGGAGGAGAAATTACATTGGTGGCATGTTCATCATCCTCTTCAAGCAATTCCAGCAGTGACTTGGCACAGTCAGATGGGAATGATAATCATGGTATGGACAGAATGGTTGTGGAATGTGTGGATTCTGTATCATCATCAGTGATTTCTGACCACTCCACCACTCAAGCAGATATTTGTGCGCCATTACAAACATGTTTATACTCTTTGGCCAATGAAAGAACTGATTTGACATCGAAATCTGAAATACCTTATTTTCCCCAATCTACAAACACAGTTTCTTCTCATTTCTGTAATTCACCACCAAACACCATTTTGCCTTCTTTTCTGATTTCTGGGCCTTGTGATTCTTCTAGACCTTCTATAGTGCGAGGTATAGGGAAACAGCAGCATGTTAATAAAGAAGATGAACTGTTCCAGCAAGGTGGAACTGAGTGTCTGTTGAGACAGAATGCTGAACATCAGAACTCTTTTATTGGAAGTGCTGACTCCAGAGCATCATCTCCATGTTCAATAGAAGAACGCCGTGATGCTTATGCTCAACATAAAAATATGGCTCTAAGGCACACCTTCCCACCTCCCTATTTTATCACAGGACATGCCCGTAATATAGACCACTACTCAAGTGAAGATTCCTCATCTAATGACATGGAAAACTTCCAGCAAAATCACCTAGAAGATAATAGTATAGTGTATGAGAATGGCAGAGATGTTCTGTTTGATAATGTGTCTGTGTCATCAGATAATTGTGTGTCATTGACAGGGTGTGTTTTAGCAACTGATCCATTACAAAAGACTTCTAGTGGTTCCTTCAAACTAACCCTTTCAGATATGTGTTCACAGCTGAATGCGTCAGATATTTTAGGACATGTTAAAAGGCTTATAGATGCCCGAGCTCCCCCGAAATGCTTTGCATTTTCTTGTGGTGAGAGCAGTGACTCAGGGAATAGTGATGAGGGTGCTTTGGCACTGGAGTATCCTGGGGGAGTTCAGATTGAGTTGAGAGTGTGTGAGAATGCAGGATGTGAGCTAAAAGGCCTGAAGTTGAGAAGGATATCAGGAGACCATTTTCAGTACAATCAGTTATGCCAGGAACTTATATCATGTATGACTGCATAATTGTTACAAGTATGCAGCATTTCTAGCATTCAGGAAGCAGGAATTAGGCACTTCTGATGGTAGTATTCTTTCTGTGAGTGGGTTTTGCAGGACAAAGTTAAATTCTAATAACATAAATGGGTTATTTTGGAAATGAGCATATTTCTGTAGTATTATCTTTATTTCTGCAATTGGAGTTGATAGTGGGAGGGGCAGAGGTTATCATCGATCGAATCTAGAATTAGTATCATGCTTGCAGAGTCAGCTTTTATTAACAGCCAAGCACAATTAAGTTCAATAGCTTTCATTTCTGTCTTTAATTCATAATAGCTGACTTCTGATAAATTTATAAAAAGGTAGTAATTATTACAGGGCTAAAGAACTGACAAAGTTTCAAAACCATAATGCCATTTTGTTTCCTGTTGTAATGCATTCTAAGCATGCCTTGTGTCATGAGTGGTACTTAAAGTGGGATATACTCTCAACATGTGGGAGAAATGACTCCTTCTGCTTCATTTTTCCATTTGAATTACAAAATTGAATCACTTCAATGCATTCCATATACCTTGCTTTTCCTTTTTATGTGTGTGTTTCAATGTTAGAGAGATTGCATATGGAATAATTTTTGAGAGTTAAGCATGAATTTCAGTGTTTTTAAACCTGCAGTCATTCGTGGGAGCAATGAGACATTAAGAAAGATGGATTCTCAGCTTCACTTTGAAGTGTGTTATGATGTGTATAAAGCAATTTTATTACTAGAACTGACTCTTTATTTTGGAGAGTCATGTCCACTGATTTGGCAAATGTTAACCCTCATGCCCTGAAAATGACTTTGAGATGCCAGATCATCTTGGCAAATTTCATGTCATTTTCTAGCAATTACACTGAAAAGCATTTAATTAATTATTTATCATCAGTAGATTATTTCTTTCTGAAGTGAAAAAAAGAAATATTTCTTCAGTTTGGCAACAAATTATATTTACAGTGAACAGTTATATATATGTATATATATATATGCAGTAGCAAGATGAGTGAATATGATGTTCATCTATTTGAATAAGATTGATGAAAGAGTCTAATCTATATTTTTTCAAATATATTTTTGTATAGACAATTCTGCAATGTATTGTGTAATTCTAGACATTCCTACAAGTTAAGTGTAACTATACAATGTCAGTGAGGAGGAGAGCTGAACATAAGTGATAATAATATTTCCTTCAGCACAAATTAATTGTTAATGTTGTACTATGAGTTCTGTTGACTTTCCCCATGGATTCCAAGTATGTGATAGGGGCAGGCTCAGAAAGTATGAGTGTCAGTTAGTTTATAGAGTGCGCAAGTTGTGAAAAACATTAGTATATTTATCCATTTTTTACATAGATCAGACAGAATTGGTTCTTCCATGAAGACTGAAACTTGCAAGACATTCAGGAATATAAACAGGAGACCTGACTTCCCATTGCAAAGGAAGAATCAGATCAACCTCTGACTGAGGTCCATATCCTTTGGGGTTCACAGGTAACCCTTTTGTTTTGATTGTCAGTACTGATTGTTATGTTTGAGTTATATCTGCCATCTTGACAGATTATGGCTCTCACTGTAACCATTTAGATATGGGAACATATTTTAGAATGTCATGTCTTCTTTTCAACCACTGGTTCATTGACAGTTGATGCTGTAAGTCACTGGTCTTGCTTAAACAAAATCTTGCATGGTGTAGTAGAAAACTGTGCATGGATGATTATTGGAGGTCTGTTTGGCTCTGACATACAGAATCATGGCACACATTGAGACTTGCATCATAATGAATCATAATGAGCTGGATGCACTGCTGGATTCAGGTAGTCTGTTGCTTTATGCACAGGCTTACTGGGTGTTTGAATATGAATAGGATTTGGAAGGACTGGGGATTGAAATTGAAGATAAACTTTAGATACAACTGTTTTATTATAAGAGACCGTGGAACCTGGAGCAACTTTGTCTTGGTTAATCCAACTATGGTTGTATGCCTTTCTGATAATGTTCCATATTTGCAGGTAAAATCACTTATACACAGCCTGGTTCACTTCAGCACCTGACTTTTCGTGAATCAGTATTCCTTCAGTGTTCTCACAATCCAAAAGATTGAAAATTATTGAGAGATTGTGATGTTAAAGAACTGCCATTTCCTGCAACATAATGTTCTCTGCAGAATGATAATTCATCATGTGAACTGTCCTGAATGTGCATAGCCATTTCTGTGTGCTCTGGCAGACACCAGAGGTCTACATGTGATCAGCAGAAACTGGTTCAACTATTATCTTGCTTTACTGTGAATATTTCCACTATATCGCATGTTGTTTCATAGACTGGTTCATAGCATTGACACGAAGTTTCATCACCAACCATAACAATTTCCCATTTACTGTAAATAGCACTAAATTCCATGCAGGGTAAATGTGACGCCCACATACAGCACATCTTTTACTATTCCAGTAGTGATTTTAGCCAGCTGCTGTGGCCATAATCTTTATTGACTTTGCACAACATTATCTTGATAGTGCATGTGTGGAGTCCAGCTGGCTGAGCATTGAATTTTTTCACTATTAACACTCTTACCCCTAACATAAAATATGGCTGCTAGCCTCTTGGAAACAGGAGATTAAAATCCCTTATTCTGGGACAGTAAAGGATAATGGACACACATGTTGTTGCTGATGATAGGTGACCGTGGTGTACTGACTGCACCTGTCTTTTTCATACACACAGTCTTTTCTATATAGTGTGTGTAACTGTCAGTGAGTCACCATATAAACTCAAAAACTGAATTACTCTGCACTGTTTGGACTGATATGAATACTCATACAACTTGTGGTTGTCTGAATTTTATGACACCATGCAGTAGTCTTAGACATGGATACAAATTTTTTGGAGGACTGTACTACCCACATCTTCAGGGTGAATGGAGACTGTATGTTCCTCTGAAATGTTGGTACCCACTTACCAGATGACCACACAGTGTCATAGCCTTACATCTTGTAAATATGGTACAGACTCTGAACTCCTGCAGGTCAGATTCCTCTTCTGCTACACTGCTAACAGATTCTGTTGTGCTGCTGAGGAATTTCTGTTGAGCATTGATCTCATGTAATCCCCCTCAGGCTGGCTTCTATTGTACATAGATGTATGATAGTATCATGTACTGGATAGAATAGTCCTCTCATGTCCTCCATTTAATTTTTCCTTATACTTGTTCTTCAGGCTTTGATCATTTGTTTTTCTTTCCTGTCCTTATGCTCCCTGAATTGTGAAATGTCTTTTCAGCAATATGTCAGGGCTACCATCTGTTCTTAGTCTCACATAGTGTTTACTGCATTTTTCATGTGGGAAATAGTTATAAAGAAATGAAGTGATATGAAGATTACTATTTGTAACATTATAAGGAAATGATGCAGCTTATATATCTTACAATGGAAATAAATATACATATTGAAACATGTAATATTAAAGAGGCACTTTGTATACTGATCTGTTAAAGAAGGTAGATATAAATGGGTATTGAGAGTTGAATGAAATGCTGCAGTTTTATTTTTATAGTTAATAGGTCAGTATTGATGTTGGTGTTGGATTGTAATTAAGAATTCTGAACAGCTATCTCCATTGCTTCATATTATTATGCCATAAACATGCTAACCTTTACTGTTGGTACTGACATTTTCTGTTAAGATGTTATGAACCGAAAGAAATGCAGAACAGATCCCACTCGGGAAAAAATCACATTCCAGACATCAGCCACCATTGTCTTTTATTGCAAACTACAGTTGCAGAAGAATTTAGTTTTATTCTATTTTTACATAATCTATCTTGCAGCATAAGGTCTAAATGTTAATCTTTTAATTAGCTGTCATGAGTAGGTGATGAAGACAATTTGTCAGGATTCCAATATCAGTTCTCTGTTTCTTTTAGTTTGCTGTGTCGTAGCATTTCATGTTGTCTGTTATGTCCATTTATAGGTAAAATTTGAGTGACTGAGAAAATTTAATTCTAAAATTTATTCTAAATGCATAAAGAAATTTGGTGGGGGAGGCTCTTGGGAAGTAGCTGCTTTTAAAAATATTGAATATGGGAGGGTAATGGTTCCAGACATACACAGCCACAATTTTTGGAGAATAAGTAAAATAATTTGAAATATGCATGACTAATAACAAGTTGTTCTTCTATCTGTTGGTATTATTTTACATAAAACTTATTTTCTGCAGTTAGTTTTCTGAAGATCTCAAGTGAAATTATTTAAGCACTGAAGTACATTCATTTCAGATCTTTTCCTTGAAAATTTCATTATTTAAGCATGCCATTTTAACTTAAAAGGAACAGGAATTATGTGATTGAAGTTTAAAGTGTTCTCATGTGCTATAGCACATTCCTTAAAACTTTTAATGTGGGCACACTATTAATGTCAGAGTTCCTAAAACCACTATGTTTCTGAAACTGGTTCTATGGCTGAAGATCTGTCATCTGGATATAATGCTGCATAATGTGTTGAAAGTAAGCCAGTGTTTTGGAGGAACATATTGCTTCCATATTCAGGGTTGAAAACAGCCAAGCAAGAAACCATCTCTGCCTGCCACAGGTTTCCATGCTTGTTTCTTGCTCGGTGTATTCTTCAAACTTGAAGATGGAGGTGACATGTTCCTTCAAAACATCAGTTGACTTTCATCAGACTACATGGCATTATATCTCAAAAGATAGAACTCTGCATAACCACTGCTCTGAGAACCTCAAATTCCACATAGTAGTTCTGCTTCTATCTTGGTGAGGAAATTTCCTCTGTTCGGTCCATCAGTAACGATCAGTAGAGCTACTCTTGATCCATGGATACCAGTACTCTGGAAGGTAAGCTGTCTTCAAAGAATGTCTCTGGAATATGACTTAAAATTAAGCCAGTCTAAGCAAAACAACAGTTTTCTAACTGAAGCCATCTGCAAGAGCTAAGACATTTTTCATTCATTATGAAACACTGAATTGGCTGAGACCTTTAGCTCTTTTACCACATCATAGGAAATAAGCTTGTGTTCTTCCAGCCCAGACCTTCAGGTCAAGGATTGTAAGACAACTAAGAAATTGGGAAATAAAATTCATATTTCCCACAAAACATCATGGAATAAATTTCAAGAATGGCCGTAATTTTAGCCAGATTAAGTTAATGGAAAGGGCCATGACAATATGAATAAAAATAGTAGCCATGATGAAGAATGGACAGTTCAAACAAAAATGCCCAGATATTAGACCAAGCTGTCCTGAAGCTCGCTGACCTATTTGTAGATCAGTGGAATCCATAAGGAGAGATCTCTGTACTGGATTGGCTGATAGTCTTTGTCACACAAGCCATGTGATCAGCTTCGTATGAATATTATAGGGTTCTATTTGTTTAACCCTAGCTTTCTTCCACCCAGTACAGTGTCCCTTTTCATATGCATATTTGAACTTCAGCAAACTCTGTTTCAGATTATTCTTATTTTCCCCCACTCCTTAACTTGGAATGACATGCCTGTTTCCCTGATGTAGTTGTTACATTCCCATGAAATCAGGTATGACTTGGCACTCAGTGGATACTATCAACATTTTACTCATACTGTCTTTAACATGTGAAGATAAAACATCATCTAGACAGAAGGTGCACAGTTGTTCCATATATTAAAAAAATTCAGGAAAAAATATACATATTGGGATCAAATATAATATCAGGACAGTTTTTAAAACTCATCATACTCAGCAGCATACTGACTTGTATGATGTTTGTATGAACTTGTAAGGGATGCACACCCACAAAAAAACATTTTGGTCTTACATATATTGCTCCCACATGAGATAGTTTTTTTTATTGCTGCTAATGTGGTTGGACTAAGTCCCTTGTACTGCAGCCACTTCTGGCCTATTGTACCAGCACCAGATGATAAATGAGGGTGATTGTGGAGCAATTGGTGGAATGAAGATTGGCAGGGGAAACCAAAGTACTCAGAGAAAACCTGCCCCAGTGCCGCTTTGTCCACCACAAATCCACTTGACCAGACCCAGGATCGAGCCCGGGCCGCTGCTGTGGGAAGCCAGTGACTATTATTATTATTATTATTGGAGGGGGTGGGTTTCCCCATGCACTGCGACTAACAGTCTATTGTACTTCCCCCTTTGATATTCTACCAGTCGCCATACCCTGCTGGTACTGGTGCTCGCTATCAGTCCCGTTCAGCCAGTGAAGCTGGCAGTAGTTTCCGATACTTCCCCATCTACCGGAGGCATTGGAAACTACTTGGGCGGGAAACTTTGCCTAATTTTGCTCAGAGGTCTCCTAGAGACATGAGGATCTTTTACGTGCCGTAAATCTACGGGACCCACGGCTTAAAGTCCCTCCTGCAGGACTTGTTCCCTGAATTTTTGCGCCGGGTTTGAACCCGCGTACCTTGAGTCATGAGGTGGGAACGTTACCCCTAGACTACGGAGGCCGCTTAAGCCAGCGACTAACCGCTTGAGCTATGGCACGGCCCTTGAGATATAGTTACTGTGTCTGGTGTAGTGTTGTTAGTCATCAGTGGCAGGTATGCATCAGCTGATAATATGTATACATACTCTCACATTTTCTGTAAGTATAAGGCCTGTGAGTGATATTTAGCTGAACTGTTTTAATATAAAAGCGTGGTAGTGAAGGAGGAAGGGAAGAGAGATGATGGCAGAATGGAAGAATAAAAGGATTTCGGAAGGAAGTAGGTGAAGATATTGTGACATGATGCCTGAAAACCTGAAAAGCACGTGAAAAACACATTTTCACGGCAACAGAGAAATCAACTGTTCAACTCCACGTCCTATATTTGGTACACATGAAGCTAGTTTAGACAGACAATGAGTGAATGAATGAAGAAGTCGTAGCTGACAAGCCGTGGGTTGAGGACATGAAGTTTTCATGGAAAGGAGTTTTGAGGATTCAGCTGTGAATTGTTAATAGACGTTGAAGACTTTATGTGCAATAGTTACAGTAACCCTGAGAATGTTTGTATTTTTTGTAGTTTTGACTTGTGAGTATCCAATAAATTGATTCACCGATCCAAACCCCATCTACATGTCACTAATATACGTGAAAATATGAAAATTATGAAAAAGGGTTGAGGGATGAAGTTGCGAAAGAATTATTTTCCTGGAGAGACTAAAGTTGTGTGTCCATTAGAAAGTTAACCAGATGGTGGGGAGTAGTTGCTTAACAGGTGAAGAGATTTTCCATTGACTTTTCAGTAGGCATTGTACTGGTAACTAGTTCTCAGTTTCAGACAAACTTGTGATTGTATTTGTCCTATCCTAGAGTAGTATAGTCCAATTGATTATTATTTTTTTAGTGAAGAATAACATATGATGAAATATGTGCAGAATTATTAATAGTCCAAAATGTAATATTTTGAAACCAAGTCAAATGCGCATTCTTAGCCAAACAGGCTGGTAAGAATACTCATATCAGGGCCTAAGAGTGCGCATCGTAGAAGTCGCACAACATGGTCATAAATCCATCTTGAAACTCTTGTGCCATTTAAATGCTGTTGTTAGGCCATGTAGCATACTTTTTAAAGCAGAAAAAGAGACCGAATGAGCAATAATGATAAAAAGCAATTGTTCATGTAGGGCCCATCCTTATACTTCTGCCGTTCGGTAGCACGCTAACAAATGGGCGTTGGAGATGCCGTGGTGAGTGCTGATTCAGTAGCATTCGTTTCAATGTAGGAGGTTCCCGCAATGCTGTTGAAATTATTGTAACGTTCAAATTACTCGTTTAATTACTGAATAACCATAGAAAATTTGAATGATTAAAAAGGCAATAAGAAATATTTTTAATGCAAGTTGTAAGCTACAAACATGGGAAATAAATAGCTTTGGTGAGCATTTTAAATATAAACTCAACAAGCGTCAAAGTCAAAATATGATACTTATTTATATATTTTACGTTCTTTCTCGCGGAACCCTTAGCAATCTTTTGCGGGAACTCGTAGCGACTTTTTGCGGAGCCCTAGGGTTCCAGGGAACATCAGTTAAAAGAAGTCTGATCTTGATCGGACCTTGATAATGCAAAGACCGGAAACCGAAATTAACAGTCATGGGGATTCGTTGCGCTGACCACGCGACACCCTGTGTCCTCTAAAGTTGGCACCAACTTCGCCGACAAGCGGCGGTCGACCGGTCGGTATAGTTTGTTTGCGGACTAAAACCATGGAGTTTTCTTTTTGACGATGCAAAATTATACATTGCTACGCGGGAGAGTAATTTGTCTTTTTACCGACCGAGCCATCGCAGTGTGAAAATGGTATCATATTTCACAAACAAAGCCTTTAAGCAAGCACTGTGTTTTGATTGATGTTGGAAAGCCCTATGCGACGTCATCGCGAATAATTTAAATTACTTGCTTGTACGTATTTCAAGTAATTCTCTGGTCCCACGTTTAGATGTCGCCAATGTAATCATTTTCTTTTATAGCAAACCATTTCGGTCCCTGCGTTGCACACTGCCCTTGTTGCCTTTACTCTGTGTTACCGATCACTAGCCAATCACTTGTATGACGAGGTGATTAGTTTGACTAGTATGACACATGGTACCACGTTCATTGTGTTGGGGGATGTCGAGAGCTGGTGATAGGTGTAAGGGACCAACAATAAGTTTTATCTTATAACTCTCTTAGAGACAAGTTTATTCAGTATTACTGTGTGTGTAAAATGACGTTTCAAACTAATGATGGTGTACCTGTGGGAATTAGTCTCATTTGGAAAGTTAGTGACAGTTGTTGTCCAAGGGCATTTGTTAACAGAACATTTTGGTAAGGATGACGAAAGCATCTTTTTTCATTTATGAGTTCATTTTTATTTGTAACTTTAGCAAACAGCCTGTTCCAATTTCATATTGACCTGGTTGGTAGGTCTTACGTTCTCCCCTTTCCTTCTTTATGTTAGTATGTTTACCTTTAAGTTTGTGTCACGTTTTGATCATTCTGGTGTCGAGTCTTGTGTGAAAAAAATTCTATATTAACTGAGACCTTACTTGTTTGTAACAATAATGAAATCACTGAGGTTTCTCACTTTAAATTTCTTGGTCTGGTAATGGACAACACATCCTGGAATTTGCATATTGACAATGTTTTAAACAAATTAACCAGAATTCGTTATATGATAAGATCAGTCAAACCTTATATGTCTCTTTCCTCACTCCATATTTCATACTATATTATCTTATGGTATTATATTCTGGGGTCAGTCTACCAATAGCAAAAAAGAGTTCTTCGCTTAATGACAGGATATGGAAATAGGTCCTCATGTAGGAATCTTTGAGAGACCATTGAAATCTCAATATATATTTTTAATCCTTTTCGTTTGTTTTAAAGAATAGAAATTTTTTATTATTAATTATGATAAGCATAATGTACAGACCATATATTGTTAAAATTTATATTTTCCTACTTCCTCTGTATCATTGTATCAAAATGGCGTTTACTACACTGGTATTAAAATTTTTAATAAATTACCACGTGAATTGGGGGCATATGGTAGCGTAATTGGTTGAGGCACTATGGAAGGCCACGGGCTCAAATCCTGATGTCATTAGATTTTTTCAATTGACCTAATCCTTCCAGCCGGACCATGGCCCTGGGATCGACTCAGTCTCTAACAGAAATGAGTACCAGGAATATTCTTGGGGGTAAAGGGCGGCCAGCACATAGGGCTGACAACCTTGCCGCCATCTATGAGCCGATTGTCTAGAAAATGTGGGAACCTATGGGCATCCACAGCCTGTTACGGGGATACCTTTACTTACTTACCACTTGAATTAAAAGAGCTTGTACAGACGCCTAAAATTTTTAAGAGTTCCTTAAGAAGATATCTGATCTTGCACTGTTTTTACAAACTGGAGGAATTTTATTGTATAAATGGTTAATATGTTTTTCATTTGTATTCAAATTTGTGTAATCATATTCATTTATGTTCTATGTCTGTGTTATGTATATTTCATATTATGTTGCCTAGACTTATTCCAGTGATTAATTGTAACATTTGTTCTGATATGTGACACATTCTATATCCAAGGGTTTGTGAATCTACTTCTCAACACGTATCTGGATCTGCTTGAATTTGAAATAAAAGAACAAAGCACAAGAACAAATAGTACCTAGTCATGAGGGAACTGGTCTGAGATCTGAAGGAGAGAGTGGACTTGTGTAAACTGTGTTTGGTTTTGGAGTTCAGTTTAAATTTGATTTACTTTAGACTCCCACCACTGGAAGCTGTGTTGAGTTTTTTAACCTGCTTTCCTTAAAGTAAAAAAGTGAAGCTATCTCTGTACCAGGCTGTGAAGGCCGATAGGGTTGTGAGACGTTGAGGGTCCCACATTATCTAGACCATCAGCTCAAAGATGGCGGTAAGGTTGTCAGCCTTATTTTGAAAAAATAAAATTAGAGCNTGCCTGTATATATATATATATATATATACGAGTAACATGGCATCCTAGCCCATCTCAACAGCATACTTCGGAAAACCTTCCCATCTGTAGTACCAGCATTACAGCCTCATATATTGTTGTTATATTCATGAAACTTGATATGTATATTATGCCACCTGGGGCCATCTCAACAGTGTATTTCATAAGAACGTGCCATAAGTAATACTAACATTGAAACCTCTCAAATTATTGCAGTAATAACCTAAATATTACTTGAATGCCTGAACCAATCTTCATGAAATGACGCATCATGCCACCTTGCCCTGCTCAAGGATATACCTAAGAAATCCCTCTCATTAGTAATACCAGCACTGCAGCCTCTAAAATAGTTAGGTAATAACCATAATATTATTTATCATGCCACCTGAGTCCATCCCTCTTTACATTTGAACACATGCACAGTTCATGTTCTATAAAAATCGAGTTTATGTTATTGTTTTATTGACTTACTTATGCAAGCACAATAAAGTGTTGTCCAATTTATAAGAAATACACAGTTTGTAGTAAAAGGAAAGTAGGCAGTTAATTCTTCCCAGAACTTTTTATTTCACATCTGATCAGATTCTCTTACAGTATTGGTTAGTATATTTGTTATCTGTTATCAATATTGTATATATCAAATCTAATTGTTCATTTTGGTGACATCAGCTTGCATCTCTTTTCTTCAGTATTCTGTGCTTGTATCTGTGGTACATAGGTGCATGTGATACAGACTTGTATGCTGTATAACCATCTTACTATTACACATCTGTTATACGTAGATGCAAAATACCTGTTTAACCTTACATGATGTACATTTCCCCTAGTGAAAATGACAAAAACAAGTTATATTAATTGGAATAAGAGAATGCGTTGGGAGTGAAACTGTGGAAGAAAATTCAGTGCATTAACTTCAGCATCCAGGGCAAATAAAAAGGATGGGAACAGTTTAAGGAAACAAAGTGTATAAGAGACTTCCTGTTGAATTTTGATGGATTTTTTCCCCACTATTTTATTTTAATCCCTGAACTAGTTTTGTCCTGTTGGTTAAAATGGTTGAACATTTGTGACATGATTAAGACAGGAGATAAATATCATCTTTTGCTCTTCTTCCTGCTTCATATTTGATGGTTAGGCCCTTTGAATCATTGCCATTGTCAGTGCCCCAATTTAAACACTTTTTATCCCTTTGAGAAATTAAGATAATGTAATCATGGAAAGTACTGTATTCTGGGATGTAATGCTTTGTAGTGTGGTAGAATTTCACCTGTGGTTTGGAGGACATACTACCACCATCTTCAGGGTTCAGTAAGCCAACAAGAAGCAGGTAGCAAGCAAAGATAGAAAAATTAGTTTCCCTGAGGGACTGAAACCTGTGCCAAGAAATCACAGCCAGATGGTAGGCTTTATAGTTTGATAGAAATTAGATAATTTTGAATTTTCAAAGGAATTTTCACTAATATATAAACAGTTTGTATATTTGCATATTTTAATTTACCAGGTACCGTGCAAGTGTGTTCATTTTGACATATGCAGGATACACTTGCTATCACTTATCACGTAAACCAATCAGTGTGGTGAAGAATGTGTTAAATCAGAACTGTAGTGATTATAATCCACCTCCTGATTTAATCATCAATGCCACAAATAAAGACAATTGGTGTGACTGGGCACCGTTTGGTAAGTTGTAAGGTTTATTCTTTATAGAGATGTTATTTTAACCCTTCATTGCCTTGTGATATACATAGAATGGCACATGTTGCCATGTGACGTACATTGAATGGCTAGACCACCAGTAAGATCACCTGATTTTGAATTTCATGTGTTTCCAGAAATGAATTGGATTTAAATATCCCGTGGCATTGGAAGGTTAAGTAGCTGTAGTAACTAATTTACTAATTTACTCCACGAAGTTGAGGCCTTCTTGAGAAGCCAACATTTGCTGAGTCACGCAAGAAACTCCATTTTATGGAATCCTAACTTCCATTACTGTTTTTTTATTTTATGCATCCTGTTGTGTATTAGTCCAGGAGAGAGAGTACAAGGATGAGAATGGAACAGGCCCTTGGTTAATTGTGAAGATTAGTTTAGTCAAAATTAGGACAGATAAGTCAGAGTGATTGAAGATGAAATAGCAAGAAGACTTCATATTGATTTGAAGTGCTAGTTTCTGTTTTGAGATCTGTTGCCAGGAGACAACTGGTGAGGACAGAGAATCCTAGTTCGTGTGTGACGCGGAACTGGAAATGTGTAGAATGGCGATAGCATTGTAATTGAGTGTGATTAAGAGAACTTGTAACTGAAGTGCCAGTAAATCTAATCATCTGATGTAGAACCCATTATTTTCATCATGCGTACCCACCTACATGTGACAGTACTTATATAGACGTGTTGCGACTGTACATGTTTTCAGTCCATGGAGATGAAGCCTCTGATGATGGCCAAGACAGGCTGAAACATGTAAGGTAACTTGTTTATTCACAATAAACTAGTCACATCTGAAAGAATATATGCTACTTTATGTACATAACTTATACCTGTAATATACTAAGGCCATTCAATGAAGTCCAGTGGGTAGTAGGGATAATGGCATTCAAAGATTCCTCTTTTGGCTACTTTTATATTCCCTTCCAGCATGGCTGTGCTGTGTCAGCCAGCCCAGAGAGCTTATTGCTAGCGGAATTATCACTGCCATTATTCCTACAAATACAGTGTCTAGATGAGTAGAGGGGAACTAGGGAAGTGTGCTGGAGAGGGAAGCTCGACATCTTGAGGGAGATTGGAGGGGGGGTCGATCCATGGAACCGATTTGTGTAGTCTCAGTATAATACGTTGTCTGTCCAAAAGGAAACCTAACTTTCTTTTTAAGCTTACAACTTAACAAGACTTGTCTCCTTCAAAGTACTCCCCTCCACTGTCTATACACTGCTTCCAACTTTTTTCCAGTTGTGGAACGCATTTTGCCAAATAGTGCATAGGTTCCGCAGTGAATTTTCTTCTAGCTCTTTTATCGTCTGAAATTGGTGATCTTTCAGAGTGGATTTCAACTACAGGAACAAAAAAATCTGCAGGGGCCAAATTTTGAGAGTAGGGTGGTTGGGAGACAAGTCTTGTGCCACTATCGCAAGTCACCTGTGTTGGCTTGTTGGCGCCCTATTTAACTAGTTCTGTTTCATTTTGGACAGACCACGTATATACATGAATTGAGAAGATTGTGTTTTTCAAATACTAACTGTATTATCAGATGACTTTGCATACATCCTTACAATTGCTAAGAGAAGCTGCTTAACTCTGATTTATAGATCATCATGTTAGTAAGTTAATTTTATATTCCTTTCCAGGCGATAAAAATGCTGCTACACTATTGGGAGCCTTAGATTCAGCTTACTTGTTCTCATATGCAGCCTCTATGTTCCTTAGGTAAGGAATTATAATAGAGCAGAGCTACTGTTTAACCTCTCCCATGATATCACATAATGTAATTTTGACCACAGTAGGCCATATGACAAGTCTGATATTCAATGAAACCTTCATTAAAATCAATCATCAGTTATCGTTAAAAGTTATAAAGATGTAATAGTAAAGTTGACCCTGTTCTTAATTATGTACCACACCATGAAGATATAGGATGGGGTGGAGGTAAAGCTCCCCTCATCCTTGGCTTAGACATTGGATGGAGGTGAATGGTCAGCATTTTGCTCTGGCCACTTTACCCCCAAGGGAACCGTCCACATAAAATTTTAATCCAGTGGAAAATTTGCAGTATAAGGCCTTCATAACAAGGGGAAGATTCCCTTGACAAGCTATAATGTTACACTTCAGAGAATGATTAATGACTGAATACTGCAACACTACAGCTAAGAGAGTACAAATGAAAATTTTGGTAGTTGCACGCTTTATTTTGGTCAAGGTATGAAGTATCCCTTGATGATAGAAAGGTTGGCCTTCAGTATGCTGAAGAATTATGTCAGGGCTCTGCAAACATTTCTGAGTGGACACACATGTTGAACAGAACCATGTCTCCTTTGCCAGTTGAGTTTCATGTTCTGATGTGATTATTCATGTTTGTTATCGCAGTGGCTTTTTAGCAGAACGGACTAATCTGCGATACTTTCTTGCACTTGGTATGATTACGTCTGGACTTTTCACCTATCTTTTTGGCATAGCAAAGTCATATGGAATTCACTACATGTGGTACTTCACACTTATACAGGTAAGAGAGTTTTTTTGTGTGGTTACAGAGTGAAAAAGGGGTTCTGGGCAGAACTCATAAAGCCTACTTTATGACAGGTGAAGCTTTCCCATAATGGCTTAATAAATCAAAAGTGAAACCACTGTATTAAAATGATAAGAGGTCTGTTTCACTGATGCTATGAATTTTATTATTACATTACATTATGTTGCATTTCCTGGATTCAGAGTTAGTGAGAAGGACTGTAGGGTGTGGAACATGTCATATAAATACAAAAACATATGTACAGTACAACTGAAGTTTTCACATAAGAAAACACAGTGGTTACACTTAAGGTTCTTCAAAAATACATCCACATACATACATCCATACTGTCAACTTATACTGTTCACACATCCTCGAAATAGATGAATCATTTTTTAGACAATGGGTATTCATAAACAGAGTAGAATTGGTGTGTTAAGTACTGTTTTAAATCATGTTTTTTAATTCGTAAGTCTTGAGATCAGATGGCAGATTATTGAAAAATTTGATCCCAGGTTTTCTGAAAGCATGATAGGTAGCAGTCCTTTTATGAAGATAGTGCTTGTGTCTTGTGTTAGCACTGTGTAACCTGCATTAGTCTGAAAATGTTCTTTGTTATTTGTAATGAAGTTCGTTAATGAAAATACATATTAATGTAGAACACTTAAGATCTCTAGTCTCTTAAATAGATCTCTACAAGAATTATGGGATTTGACACTGTAAATACCTTTTTGCTGTCTGATGAGATATAGATATAGAACTCGGCACAAACTGAAAGGAAGAATGCTTGGACAGATTGACACAGTTGTGTTTGGGTTGGATACTGTTTGTGTGAAGGTGTACAAAGACAAGCATGCTGTTTTCAATTTACAGATCTTGTCTGGTGTTGTTCAATCAACTGGATGGCCTGGAGTTGTTACAGTTATTGGAAATTGGTTTGGCAGAAGAAAAAGAGGTGAGAAAATGTGCTGTTATGCTTAAAGCAGGCTACAACTCAGCTGTGAATGGATACCTTTTTAAGTCTTAAAGGAACTAACATTGCACAATTTGTCAGTAACAAAACCACAGAACAGAGAGAGAATTCATTTCATTTCATTACTCACTTTGCTGTTGGTACAGTTCATGTGTGAACTTGCTGATTTTCAGCAGGAGCATGTTGCTGTTGACCTTCATTTAGTATGTAAATCTTTGAATGCTTGAAAGTTGCCATCATATTGGGGAAATACATCAGACAGTCATAAGGTCTTTGTTATACAAAAGAAAATAATAAGAATAATGGTGGGAGTGGGCCCAGCTCATACATATAGAGATTTATTTAAAAAGCTTGACATACTACCAATCCCATGTGTATATTTGCTCTCATTGATGGCATTTGTTGTTAATAATCTGAATAAGTTTCAAACCAGTAACTCTGCATATGTGATTTGTACCAGAAGGAATGACCACCTTCATATACCTTAAACACATTTATCATCCTATCAGAGAGGGGTGTATTATTCAGGCGTCAAGCTATTTAATACTCTGTCATCAAATATCACAGTTTTAAAAAATGATAAAAAGCAATTTAGGTTTGTTTTACGAAATCATTCGCAAAGTAACGTATTTCACTCAGTTGATGAATTTGTCAAGCATGTAAGTTGCTCAAAAGTTAAGAGTTAATAAATGGTCTGTGTGTGTGAATTATACAGTGTTGAGACTTGCTTGTTGTAAGTGTAGTAGTAAGTATGATGTATGTTTTTTGTTATGAATTTTAATATTTTATAATGTAACTGTTTGGATGATATGGCTTGCCAGCATGTGTGGAATGGCAAGGTGTGAATTTTATTGTGGTTTTTCCATGACCTGTGTGTGTTGTTCTGACAACTTGAGCTATTCTGTCTCAGGCTTGATTTTATATTTTATTGGACCAAGGACGAATGATGTGTAGTCATCATGAATTTGTAATATGTGACATGTTTTATATCCAGCCATACAGGGAGATGATTGGATCCATGAAATGATAAATAAATGTAAATAGTTCTTGATGTTGTACTGTCTGCATGGAATGACTTCACATCTCTTTGTCATAACTGGGAAACTAATGAAGCAACTAACATAGGTGCTGAAGTTATTGAAAGCCATGATCTTGGAGTCTTGTTATTTAATTGAACTTGCTTGTATCTCTTGTAGGTATTATATTTGGTCTCTGGAACTCTCACACTTCATTGGGAAACATTCTTGGTTCTCTAATAGCTGGTGAATATGTGGAAGGGGACTGGAGTCTTTCATTCATTGTGCCAGGTGTCCTGATAGCTGGTATGGGATTTGTGATATTCCTTTTCCTGGTTGTCAGGCCAGTTGATGTGGATTGTCCTCTACCAGACCAGGTTTGTGACTAACACTACTGAATTGCAGGATATTTAGAATTCTTGTACTGATTATGGAAAATATATTGATGATTGTCATCTTTCTCCTATTGTGTTGTTTCTCTGTGTGGCTCATAAAATCTGTTCTTTGACTTTTAGCAACCTCCCCTTCTTTCTTTGATTCATAACAGCCTCTTTGCTCTTTCTTTTGAATTAGCTCTCAGTTGGAAAGTTCTTGTCGCAGTCTGTCCTCTTTGTTACATCTAGTATCTTCACGTTCAGAGTGTTCTATGGGATTCTGTTCTGTAATTTTTGTATTAGTCTGTTCTGCTTTGCCCCATCCCAATCAGAACATAATCTCTGATGCCTAATCTCAGTGTATACAAATTTTAAAATGAGAGAGAAATGGTTATTAAGTTGCAGTAGAATTGTTTGTGAATTGTAAAAATTGTTCCTACTTATTGTGAAGGCAATTCCCACACCTTGTATTGACACTGGATTTGAGGTTCTGATGGCAGTGATTGTGATAAGTACTGTTTTCTGGTAGGTGACACCACATAAGCAGGTAACAATTTCCCCAGTGTTGCTTTGAAGGTTTAGTGAACTTCTACGAGACTTCATGGTGTTATATCCTGGAAAATTGTACTCTGTAATAACATTACTTATAATCTTTTTTAGTCACCCATATGAAGAACCACTTTTGAGTGAACTGTTTCTTTTTCCATGTTATAGTTATAGTCCTCATGTTGATGAGTTGCCTACATGTGAAAATTTCTGTCAGCATATGCTTGATGCCAGTACATTACATTACATTGCATTGCATTCCGTGGATCCAGAGTTAGTCAAAATGACTGTAAGATGTGGAATATGTCATATAAATACAAAATATATTGTGACGTTGCTCAATGGAGGACAGCCCCTCCCTCCCCCATCAGTGACGTGGCAGCTCTGGCCACGGTGACGTAGCAGGTGAGTCAGCACTCCACCCCCCACCCTGGGCTATGTGGCACCACTTCCTACTGTGATGAGACACGCAATGCCGCTGTTGACACGGGCAACAGGCAATAGCGAACGGAATAAAAGCCGGCTGAGCAGCAAGCAAGAGTTAGTGTGTGATCAGGAGTGACACAGTTAGTGTGTGATCAGGGGAGTGTGTGAGCCGGAGCAACACAGTTGGAGTATGGCAGCAGTCGTGGAAAGAAGAACCGGACGCGTATTAATCAGCAATAGTTTGTGATAGCTGAGAAGTAATTGGGAGTGTGTAATACATTGACACTTATATAGCTCCCATACTGTGAATACGTGTAAACTACTGAAGATAGAGTGAACAGATTATTGCGAATAGGGTTAAAAGTGTGAAACCCCGCAACAGGGTTATAATCAATTGTAGTTACAACTTGTAGGTTGTTAAATAAACCAATTAACAATCCGAACGGCGTCTTCAGTAACGAAACACGTTACAATATGTACAGTCCCAATGGAGTTCTCACACAAGAGAAACCAAGAATACAGAGTGACTACACACAAGGCTATTTAAAGATACATAAGTTATTTTCTAGACAATAGGTATTCATCAACAGAATGGAATGAATGTGTATTTAAGTATTGTTTCAGTGCTATTTTAAATCGTGCCTTTCCATTCATAAGACCTTTGAGATCAGATGGCAGGTTATTAGAAATTTTGATCCCAGCATAATATGCACTTTTCTGAAAGCATGAGAGGTTAGAAGTTGGTTTATAAAGACAGTGTTTGTGTCTTGTGTTAACACTGTGTCCATCCGCATTCGTCTGAAAATGTTCTTCGTTATTTGTAATTAAGTTTATTAATGAATATATATATTCACAAGGAAAAGTTAAGATCTGTAGTATCTTAAATAGATCTTTACAGGAATTACAGGATTTGACACCCATCATGATTCTAACAGTTTTCTTTTGCAATGTAAATACCTTTTTACTGTCAGATGACAGTACCCCAGAAAATTATTCCATACTTCATTAAAGAATGAAAATAAGCAAAATAGATTGATTTGAGAGTGTCAGTGTTACTAATATGTAACATGAATCTAACTGCATAACATGCTGTACTTAACTTTATAATCAACTGATCAATATGGTTTTTCCAGTTTAAATGATTATCGATTTGCAAGCCAAGGAATTTTGTGTTTACTCCCTCTTCTATATATTTATCATTATATCCTATGTTTAATGGATGTTGTGGTGATTTTCTTTGTTATATATTTTCTTATATTTGTTTTTTTCTAGGTTCAGGGACAGCTTGTTTGCAGAAAACCAATTACTCATTTGTGAAAGAACCTTGCTTGATAACATGCAGAAATCATCTAAATTTTTACCAGAAGTCATAACACTAGTGTCATCTGCAAATATTATAGGTACTCATGAGGTCCTTAGTGTAGGAGGGAGGTCGTTTATATAAATTATGAAAGCAAACACCCCAAAATTAACCCCTGTGGAACTCCATGTTTTATTATTCCCCAGTTTGAGTAGGTACTTTGGATTGAATTTGATGATTTTATTCAATCTTTTGTTTTCTGTCTGTTAGGTAGGATCTGAACCAACTTAATGTTGTTCCTTGAATGCCAAAAAAGTGTAATGTAGTTAATAAAATTTCATGATTTACACAGTCAAAAGACTTTGCCTAGTCACAGAATATTCCACCAACATGCATATTTTGATTAATAGATTTCAACACACTGTCTGTTAACTTAAAGGCTGCATTTTCAATGGAAATTCCTTTCCTAAGGCCAAATTGTTCTGGGACTAGTATAATGTTACTCTGAAAATAATGGCTTAACCTATTGTGCATAACTTTTTCATGTACTTTAGAGGAAGTAGTTAGCAGTGAAATTGGCCAGTTTGACATACTAGTCTTGTCCCCTTTTTTATATAGTGGTCTTACTACTGAAATCTTAAAGATGATCAGGAAAGATCCCTGTGGATAGTGAGTGATTACAGATGTGATTTAATGGGCTACTGAATAGAGATGCACAAACTTTTAAAATTTTACTTGTTATTCCATCATAACCTGAAGAGTTTTTTGTTTTGAGGGAATGTATTATACTTTTTATTTCAGTTTCAGTGGTTGGAATGGATTTAATACCAGGGAATTTTCTAGGAAATGCCTCTCTTAAAAATGAAATGACATTATCTCCCACTTCTTGATGCAAGTTTAGATTTTCTGTAATTGCTAGTAAAAAAGTATTGAAGGCATCTGCAATGTGGTCATGTACATTCTGTAACCAATTGCAGTATATAACTATAGTCACCAGGGAGTTTGCTTCTTTGTTGTCACAACTTAACCTGTTGAGATAGCAAAGAAATTTGGTGATCTTGTAGACTGAATCAAAGTGAGTGAAAATTCCAAATCATAGCTGTTTAGCTATTGCAGTAATTTAAAAAAGAATTAAAAGTTAGAAGTGAATGACTTCTTTTTTGGGGTCACAGAATGTCATGTAAAATGGATTAGCTTTCAAGTGAGTTTTGTAGTTCATGTATGACCATAGAGTAATTTGTTCTGTCATGCAAAAGATGCCATTTTTAGAACACTTTCCTTATTTTGAAAATAATAGAAGGCTTATGAGATCACTTTGCTGTCTGTGTGTTCATCTGTGCCTGTTGACCTGTCTTNGACCTGTCTTTGTATCCCCCCCCCCCCAGTTGTTTAGGCTTATGAGATTGTCTTGCTGTGTGTGTGTTTATTCTATTTTACTTATTTTTAAAGAAAAGAAGTTCTGGGAAGAGCTACTCACCTTCTTTACTTTGATATGACATGGACCACGTAGAAAACGACATACCCAACAATTCTTCTATTGTTGCATGTGTATTCATTGCCACAGTAACGTTTTTACTGAGCTGTTGCATAGTAATTGGTAGGGCGATACACATACCAACACACAGACTGATGGGAAGGATTTATGAAATATGCCATCGAGATGGACTTAGAAGCCATGATATGCATACCAAGCTTTGTAAAATTTTTCAANTTCAAAAATTGATGGGGGGGGGGTCATAGAGACACAGACAACATGGTGATATCATAAGCCTATTTTTATTTTTTCAAAATAAGGAAAGAAGGCTTGTGAGGTCACCTTGCTGTCTGTGTCCCCCTTACCCTCTGATTTTTTCGTTTTCTGTGCAGTCTATATTGTATCAGAGGAAATAGATCTACCCATAACTCCTAGTTTAATTTCTGAATTTCTACCAAAAAATCATATAAGTCATAGATGAGTAAAATTTTTAATTTTCATTCACTTTTTAGGTTCTATAGTCTCTCCATATTTCATTAAAATCTAAGGGGATCACTTTGAAAATTACAGTTTTGTATGTTGATGTTACATGTAATATTCTCAATTAATCATACAATTGTTAATAGCTAAAACATTTTATATCACATGTCCATTTATGCTGAAAGTCTTTAAGTATAGTCTGTAAACATGACTGGTGCCTCGTGTTTGTCATTCAGGTGTCTTCAGAGCGATCTGTTTCTCAAGGGTACGAGAGGGTGTCCACAGAAGAACCTCAGGATGGTTTTATGAGCTATGAAGCTGACAACACAGAGAGTGTAATAGATGAGGTGAATTACTATGTAATTTTATCAATAAACTTATTATGTTAATTGCTGCAGTATTGTATAGTCTTGTAGGCTGTGAAGCTGATGACACATATCAGGTGAACACACTGTAACATACACTGTAACTGTATGAAGGTAGCAGCTGGTATGGAATGATATATCAATTGTAGTGTGTGTTGTCTTGTAGTATGTTCTTTCTCACATTTGTTGTCTTTACTGTTCCTACTTCCATTGCTTTGATTGTAGGATCACTTATAGAAGAGTTACTATTTATGTTGGTATAGCAACTAGCTACGTACTGGACAACTGATGGGTCAGAGTTTGAGTCCTGGTATGATCAAGAATTTTCTCTTCTCCATGTTGTCTGGATTGGCTCTGGGGTCCACCCATCTTCCTATCCAATCGGTAACAGAGGCTCTTTCTCTGGGAGCAAAGCTGCCAGGGTGTGAAGCTGACCACTCACCTCCAGATAGTGCCGAGGTCAAGAAAATGTGGATCCATACATCCACTCCACATGTGCCTTTGTGATATAGTACTTAATTAGTTAAGCACAGGGACAACTTCAACAGCAGTATATTTTTTTGCACAAGACCACACTTCAGTTTCTTGCTCTTAAAATATTGTCGCACGCAGGGGGTTACTTGTAAGATGGGTTATGAATTGGATGATTGGCTTTATTGCAGCTTTTATATTCACACAGTTTGGGACTACAGGCAATTACAAAGCTATCAGTCCTCTACACACTTTGCAGTTCACCGCTGCACAAGCACTAGGATTATCAGTCTTCATTAGCCGTATCCTAGCATTGGGTTTACCACGGTCTGACTGTCATTGTAACTCCCACACAAAATCTTTGTACTCTGTCCCATCATCTAACTCTGTCCTTTTATAACTCGGCATGGGCCCCACAGAAAGCACCTTCTGTTGTTAAGGAACGTGTCTACAGCTCCACTGCCTAGCAAAGGTGTCCCATTGTTGCATGTACTTGCATAGCAGGAATGTGTTTACTGACCTGTTGCTTAGCAGTCGTTATACACATAATATTGTGGCATATAGACTCGTTGCTAGGTAACGACCACAAAGTAAGCAACTATACGACAGCCTGTCATAGTGGGCCAAGAAAGCACATGTGCTGTGTTGTGAAACTGGTATGTTTCACCAAGAGTGCATAATTGCACAAAGGAGTACATCATTGGTCTTAGTTTTGCAGTAAACTGCAAAAGTTTGCTTTACCACAGCCTTCTGCGATACTCACATGTCTTTTACCAACATCTGGCGTAGGCATTTCTTGCCAGTATGAATATGTACTGAAATTAGAGAATTCTGCTTCAGTTTGGCAAACATTTTCTTGTGTAACATTTATTGCATGAGAAAATATTTGACATAAATGGGTTTAGGCGATTTTATTGAGAAGAAATTGAAAAGGTGCTGGTAGTACACAAGTACGTAATGTTTATTGTCCTAGGTGTAATGTCTTTTATATAATATGTTGTATGAAAACCTCAGTTTTTGTTTACTTGTGTCTCTGTTTTCTGAAGGGAAATGCATACCAGTCTTGGAAGTATGGAAACCATCATCAGCACAACCATAGCACCGTAAGTGGACATAGCTGAATTTCATTCTGACATTAACAGGGTAAAGTTTTTTGGAATTCTGCGAGATTTGGAAATTGTAAGATTGGCTGTTCTTTTATTTAGTTACTAATTTCAGTATTGTAGTAGTGGAGGCAGTTACTGTGTCGTGGGGAGATGATGGGTAGTGAAAGGTATAAGAATGTGTAAGATCTGAGGTTTTCATGGTGGTGAAGGTTCATATTATGTTTATTCTATTCAGGAACTGCTGTTTTCTCATAGTCAGTAGCCATGTAAGATCTTGATGTCAGCTTGTTTCAGTTCACTATTATTTCAGTGTACTTCACCCCTGAGTCCTCTTCCTCAGTGTTTCCTGAAAGAGAGGGTTATGTACGTGCCCGCAGCCCTGTTGCTTACGCAACAGTATTCTGTAATGCAAGATTGAAGGAATAACTCGTACTTCAGTGATAAAACTGTCCTTGGGAAATGCCGATTACTTACATGAATTCTCATTTTTGACTTCTGTTGAAATCTGTCAAATGGGTTTTTTTGTATTGAAATCTGGCAAATTGTACTAATTCTGTTGAAGTCTTCAAAGTGGACTACCACTGTTGAATAGACTATGGTCTTTCTTGTGACACTGTAGTCTTCTTGTACAGTGGATGACAAAAACAGGTAAGGCTGCAGTAGTAGTGTATGTTTCCATGTTATACAGTGAATGACGAGAACAGTTATGGATGACCACAATCTTTGCTGACATATCACTGTTGTACATTTAGTGATGAGAACCGATATAGCCACAGTCCCGCTTGTAATTCCTTAAGAACAGATGTGGTCACAGTGACAAATTTCATTTACTTGTTGCACGTGGCAGTGTAGTTAGGTGAGGCATTATGCTACAAGCCAGAAGGTTGTGGGATTGAATCCCGATGAGGTCATTGGATTTTTTTTTTTTTTCAATTTACCTAATCCTTCCAGCCTCACTATGACCCTGGGGTCGACTCATCCTCTAACGGAGATGAGTACCAGGAATATTCTTGGAATGTTCTTGGGGGTAAAGGGCGGCCAGTGCTTAAGGCTGACAGTCTTACTGCGATCTATGAGCCGATTGTCTAGAAAATGTGGGAACCTCAACATATCACAATCCTATGGACCTCCACGGCCTGTTACAAGGATACCTTTACTTACACTGAGAATGAGAACAGATGTGGCCACAGCACTAACTTACATGCTGTTTTACACTGGGTAATGAGAATGGACATGGCCACAATACCAGCTTACATTTTCTTGTTATACCTTAAGTGATTAGATGAAAACCTAGCCATAATGCCAACTTACATTTCCTTAACCAGTTAAGTGTATGTATTTATGTTTTTGTATCTCCTGCAGTGGCACATTAAAATTTCATGGGCATTTTAAATTTTTTACTGCAGTGTTTAGTTTTGTAATTGTTCCTCCATTTTTTAAATTCAAATCTCATCCATGTGTCATTATAGAATTATGAAACAAAGTCTCTGAAAGACCAATTCATATACAAGGCTATTCGGAAAGTAACCTTCGTTTATTTAGGGTAATTGATGTACAAGCGGGGGAGATCTTGCACGAGGTAGCGTCACATGACTAATTTCCTTTTAAACCGTCACATAACTGGTCACCTAGTATTTGTTATTTTCTTTGCAGAGTGAGTTATGATATGTCCTGCAATCGATAATCTTGCCACCTGTGAAATTTGTGCTGTTATCCGCTTTCTCTGTGCTAAAAACATAAGTGCTGTAGAAATCCTTAGTGAATTATGCACAATTTATGGCCAAAATGTAATGAGTGAAGGAACTGTAAAACAATGGTGTGGAATGTTCAAAGATGGGCGAACGGATGTTCATGATGAGCAAAGTGATTGACCATCTGTAGTTAGTGATAATCTTGTTCAAAGTGTTGACCAAAATATTTGTGAAAGACAGTGCTTCACAATTTCATGACTTTCATGTGAATTTCCACAAATTTCACTCACTGTTCTTGATGAGATTACAACAGTTAGGCTAGGCTATCACAAGTATTTTATCAAGATGGGTTCTGAATTTGCTCATGGGTGCACACAAAAGGCAGAAAATGGTTTAGGCTTTGACTTTTTTAGAGTGATACCACAAAGATGGCCATAAATTTCTCAGTCACTACATATGAGCAACAACAGGTGATGAAACCTGGGTTTCATTTGTGGATGTTGAAACCAGAGAGCAGTCAAAGCAGTGGATGCACATATATTAACCAAACAAGCCAAAAATGTTTTAAAAAACATCTGCCAGCTAGCTGATGCAGTGTTTTCTAAACAAGATATATACATCTGTTCCCCCATACATCTTCACAACATAGTAGTTAATTAGTTAAGCACAGGGACAACTTCACATGTGCCTTTAATAAACTACAGGCATCCCTCAATTTGTTAAGGTAATTTGTTCCATGAGAATTGTTCATAAGGTGAAAATTCATAAAATTGAATTCCCATGTTCTTTACATGTGAAAGTTGTTGAACTTGCAAATGTAAGTTGTTCGTTACAATGAAAATTAAATTTGTTAATGAAAAAATATATACAAATGACCACACTTCATTCTAATGAAAATTAAAAAAGTGAATGTTTGTGTGTTATTTTGTTATATGCTATGCCATGCAACCAAATAAATTCTCTCTTTCCAATAGAACTGCTGATCAATAATCTTCCTAGGTAGATACATGCATGGAATTTAGGATAGGTCCTTTACAGTAGTGGGGCACGTGGTAGTAGAGTTGGTTGAGACACTGTGCTACAAGCCAGAAGGTAGCGGGCTCCAATCCCTATGAGGTCAACTCAGTCTGTAACAGGAATGAGTACCAGGAATCTTCCTGGTGTAAAGGGAGTCCAGCATCCAGCCTGTAAGGCTGACAACCTCACCGCTGATTGCCTAGAAAATGTGGGAGCGTCAGTGCCTCACAACCCAATGGGCCTTCACAACCTGTTACAGGTATATCTTTACCTTTTACCTTTAAAGTAGTAGGGGGATGGAGGCTTAGAAGAAGTAAGCTGTTTCCTAGGGACCCACAGATTGTTGAATCTGTGTGCAAGACAGGCATGGAACTTTTCTAGCATGAGGGGATGAAGGGCCCCAAAGGCTTTAGTTGAAACATAAACAATATGTTTTCTGCTGTCTCTCTTCACTGGTCCTAATCAGTAATACAGCATCAGAAACACACTCATACCCCACCACGTTTTTCAGTGCCCTGGGACCCTTTGAACTCTTAAACCACCTCTGGATAAGTGGCAAGTGTGTTTGTAATATGTGTAGAATTTATGGTATGATTTTTAAAAGAAGATTCTGTTGTCTTTCCTGCTCTTATTATGCTGCTTTGTTGTTGCAGCAGGAATTGACACGACGATTGCAAAGGGAAGACAGCCAAGTTACTAGCTGTCATTCTCCATCAGAGAAGCCTATTGGATTTATAGGGGCTCTGCAAATACCAGTAAGTGATTAATTTGAAAACATTATAGTCAAATTCTGAAATTTTCATCCATGAAGTCTTTGGTATCTGTGAAGCCTGTTCAAAAGTGTTTAGGCTAAGTCTGTGAAAAGTAAGATATTGTCACGTGTTGGGTGTATGTCACGCGACAAATAACTTCATGCCTTAATGGATATAGTGAATTTATTGAACACTCGCTCTCACAGTTACACAATTCACCATCTCACAACTACTGCCATCGGCAGTATCACAAATATTTGTCCTATAGTCATTTCCATTCACTCGATACAACTCAACTCAGCGACTGCTAGACTGCAGCTGACTGTTTACGCTCTGTAGTAACTGGCTCAATACTCACTACTCACAGCTCTAGTAGCTTCCGCACTGACAACACAGAAAACAGTTACACAATAGCTACCACTGGTGCGTAACGTCATGTTTACAGGCATTGCTGGGGAACGCTGCCGAAAGTTGTTTATTTCTGTGTAGTAACCGCAGTGTCCCCTGTTACATCACTGTGAGAAGTGCTGTTATGTCACCGTGGGAGGCGACGGAGTGTTTACCGAGCATTGCATAATAATGGAAGGGGTGGGGGTATGTGACGTCACTTGCGAGACCACAGAGTTCACGTGATCCTACTTCCTGTTGCACCATTCACGTTACAATAGTGTACTTACGGGCATGACAGCTTAATATCTGTTAGCACATAACACATGTGTTGCAGCATTCTTGCAGTGCTTCAGACAATTCTGAGAACTTCGTTTCTTTTAGGAATTGTCAAGAGCTGATAGCATCTTCATTGTATTCATTTCAGTTTTTCACATCATCAAATTTTTGTTTTTGAAGGTCTTGACAAGTTTAAGGAATGGAGAAAGGTCAGGGTGAGACATCTGGTGAGTACAGAGGCTGTCTCATTTGTGGAATACTGGTTTAGCTGATAATTGCTGCACACTTTGGGCTGAGTGGGCGAGTTACTTCTCACATTTTGGTTTGCTACTTGCAGAATTTATACTTTTGTAGCTGTTTATGATATATGAGTCACATAGACATCTCAGCCACTGTAAATAGACTTGCTGGTAATATACTAACATTGTGGAGCATATCATGGTTCACAGGGAAAACACCTTCACTTTGGTGTTGCTGTGCAATGGAGAGCATTTTACGGTTACTGCAAGGAACATGATCTCCACTTTGAAGATAGCTGCATTGTTTAATGATCTTAACTGTAGATCCAGGTTTCATCACTGCTTACAAAATTGTTTAAGACGTTCCCATGAGTTTCTGCCCATTCCAGCAAGTCAGAAGTGACAGGGAAATTGTTTCCTTTCTACTCCTGAGGTGGTGAGCTCAGCTGAGACACAGCAGATTTAAAAATGTTAATCATAAGAAATTCATACATCTTCAGCCCTTGCAGGAATAAATGTGTATTGTTATTTTGCAGTAAAGCACACATTTGAGCTGTACAAGTTTTGAGGTTTCCATGGTGGTGATTGTTAAGATTGTGGTCTTCTGGGTTGTGACACTGTACTTTTTGTGCAGATACCAATATTTTGAAAGTACATGCTACCTGCATCTTTATGTTGAATTGCATGGGTTCAGGAATGGGCTTGTTTATGAGGTCATTCTACGAGGAGGGTGGTCATGTAACCCAAAGAGAGTGGTAAAGAAGAAAGGAACATGGTCCTGGCTAATGGGAAGAAATGAACAAAAGTGGACAAGAAGCGGCCTTTGTAATGGGCATGCTGGTTTATCGCCACAGGCGGGAATGGAATAGTGAGAAGACAGACTTCCCAGGGACCCAAGGTTGTTTTTATGAGAAAGTTGGAGTTTTGTGAAGAATGTACCAAAAATGGCCATTTTCACAGTCCACTGTAATTTTTTCTCACATGTGGGAGATTTGAACTTGGTAGGAAAATAACAACCATTTGGGCCCCAGTGGATGGGAAATGGGAAGCAGCCATTTTCTGTATAGAGGGCGCAGGAGAGGGGTGTCATTTAGGAAGAAGCAACTGGATTGTTCTTGAAGAGAAACTTCTTCCTTTCCTTCGGGGAGTAGTTTAGAAAGACTTCCAGAACCTGCTTAGGAAGAATGATCATGCAAAATGTTATGCAAACACATTGTTCTGTACTCTTGAAGATCATTAAATTGATACATGAGAAAATCATTCAGATTAATACAATTATTGACTTTTTGGACATTATATAGTCACATGTAGGGGGTATGCGTGACAAAAATAATGGCTTCTAGAATGGATGATTGGATTTATTAGCACTTTGGTTACAAGTTATCTTTATCACACTTATTACAGCGCTATCACTGATTTACACAGTTAACAGTTCACTGTTACACTTGCACTACGATTATCCATCTTCACTAGTCATCTTCTGGCAGCGGATCTCAACACTGAAACTAGCACTTCAAATCCTCTTGCCATTCCTTGTTAAATCACCATGGAACCTCAGAGCTCAACTAAAAGCTCTCATGGATTCCTCAAGCTTACTGCTTGCTTGCTTCTGCTGCTTACTACTCACTCCTCCAGCTTATGACTGCCTGCAGATGACCTTTGTTGGCCCCTGTAAACCTTCGACACAGACCTACAGAAAACACATCAGGTGATAGCTAAGCACTGTTGTGACTGAAGTCATTGTGCCATTGCCTAGAAGTGGGTTGCATAACCTCATTGTTCCATTGTTGCGTGTTGGATCGTGTGTGTGTTGTGGCCGTTGCCTAACAATGGATTTACATGTCTCATTATCATATGATTTTTTATATATAGAACAACGTTTTGGAGACACATATACCTGATGATGGCCTTGTATTTCAAAAACATGTTGTACTAAGTAAGATTTGAGGCTTTCACAGCGGTGACTATGAAGAAAGCAGTCTTCTGGGATTTGGCACCGTGTATATGTGGTGTTAACCGACGTTTCGGAGGAACGTATCGCCTCCATCTTCAGGGTAGAAGAAAAAAAATATATATAAGAATCTGCAAGCAAAGAGATCATGAGAACCGGTAAAAGCAGACTGCTTTTACCGGTTCTCACGGTCTCTTAACGTCGGTTAACACCACATATACACGGTGCCAAATCCCAGAAGACTGCTTTCTTCATGTTGTACTAAGATAGGACATATACTAATGACAGAAATAAAAATTACATTGAGACAGTAATATAAAGGTATATATATGCATGTGCATCTGTGTGTACCAGCATTAACTCAGTTTATTGCTGTATCTCACGATATTGGCTGAGAAAAAGAAATTATCTTGATTATTTATCATAAGTCATTGTCAAGTAACATTCTTTCCAAAACATGGTTGGCTGCTCTGTGCAAACAGCTGTACCATGTCTCTGAGTAATTTTTGAGTTTGTACATAGATTGAGCTACTCTTTCATCTTGTGATCAACAGATTGCAGCCTCATTGTTCTTTTCTATCTTTCTTAACCAAAGACATGATTTTATTTACTGATATACACTAGATGAGATCTAAAATCTAGTTATTTTCTGTAACTATGCTGCACCCACATGGATTTGCAGCCATTTAAATGTAGCTGTAAGGGTATGCGGGATGCCAGTAAAAGAAATCTTCAAGGAGTTATGTATATTATATATTGTCATGTTTTTGAGTGACTCATCTATTGTTGCTGAAGTTGTTAACCATGGGAATGTGTTTTGTTTGTGAATGCGTTATCTAGTATCTGGTATATTTACTTATCTCACAGCTGTTGCCTAGTAATGGCAGTACATGTTACATTGTGCTCTCCTTAAAGGCTGTTCATTCCGAATAGCCTACAGGCATACTACCATTTCTTCTTTTCTGAGGGCTGTGTTTGTGACGTCTGTAATTGGTTCTCAGTGATTACTATCCAGCTGCTCCCTCCTAAAGGCTGCTCATCCTGAGCAATTCCCCGGTAAAGTGCCAGTTGTATCATCATCCTTTACCATTCGGTGAGGGCAAAAGTTCTGAGAGTGATCAGTGCTCCAACGTCATGGCTCTTAAGCTGTTGTTAATGGTCCCATCTTCTGTTTCGGAGGGGGTCGACCTCCCCACAATGTCCTGACACTTATTTTCCGTAGCCTAATGGAAGTCCTGACTATTAGCTTTGCGATCTCCAGCTCTGTGGTCATCCTGAAGATCCTGCAGGATGTCCTCTCCTTCCTCATACATAGTTGCTCCTCTGAGTCACAGTCCCTTATACAATTGACACATTCTGGTTGTGCCTGATGTCTCTTCCCAAAAGTTCATTCTTTAGGGGCGCCCTGATGACCGTGTCCCTTGCATGGTGCAGGAACAGCACAATTGGTCATTCCCCTGTGGGTGGCGGCCAGCTTCTTCTGAGACCCACCATCTCCCTAGGTCTGTTTCTTCGGCTGTTGCCCTATGGCTAGATGACGGCTTTACTGCTTCTTCAGTTTCCACTATGGTCCCTTTAGGGATCTCCTCTTGCTCTGTTTCTTCTGGATGCCTCCAAATCCATGGCCTCAATCTTCCTTGACCTTTTTTCTAAGACATCCTCCAAGACCTCCATTTTCTCTACATGGGAGTGTATTGTGGCCATCATCCTTTCCTGATGGGCATCTGACTTGGCATCCTGCTATTCTTGGCTGGCTTCCATTCTTTCTTTGTTGGTTTCCATTTTAGCCAGCATTTATTCTTTCAGGAGTTCTTGGCCAGCTATCATTTGCCTTAGATTGGCATCTGTTTTTTCTTGGTATGTTCTTATTTCAGACTTTATTTTGTCCAGTAGGCATTCCATGATTTTTTCCAACCCCATTTTGTGGTGGCATAGCTTCTTACTGTGGTCTACAATCCATCCCACTTGTGACACCATCTTGTGACGTGTGTGAGTGTGACTCTCGATTGGGCTTTTGACTGAATATTGAATTTATTGACCACTTAAACACACTAGTCATAATTGCACTTAATTACAGTGCTATCGCTAATTTCCACGCATTACAAATCACTAGTGTACATGCTAAATCTTTTCCAGCCTGCAGTGTCTTCACTAGTAGTTGCCTTGTAATGGCTCCGACAATAGCTATTCCTCTGCTTCCGTGCTCAAGTCCTCTGAATGGTGGCTCCCTTCCAACTGCACTAACTTTTGAACGTGTCTCAGTTGTAACATCTCGGGTTAGACAAACAGGAAACAGCTCTAGTTGCTCAATTCATTTTTGTGGGAATTTGTTTTCTTTGTGAAGGCATTGCCCAGTAACAGCTCTACTTGCTACAATGTATTATGTTACTGTGTTGTACATTGTCCCATATGAACTTACATTTTGAAATGGTGGTTATTTCAAAGACTTCAATTTATTCAAGTTGCAACTTAAGTATTCTGCAGTTTGGGGTTTTATTTGCAAGTCACATTCCTTGAAGTATCATGACTAAAAGATTCAGTGTTTTCCCTCAGCTGTTGGTAGGGTGCGATGAACTCTCATTAGATTGTACAAGTTGGCTCTCATGGTCTGAAGTCTCTTTTCTTTTCTTTTCTTCATCCCCCCCCCCCATAACAGCGATTAAAATTTTATTTTTGTTTGAGATTTGAAAGCTATTGAGCTTTTACTCCAGAGAAGAAAAGGCAATGTTTGGTTATTTAATGGTAATGGAATCATAATTTGAGAGTTAATTTTTTAATGATCCTTCAGTGTGTTGCTGGACAATCTGTAATTCATATCTTAAAATTTACCTTAAGATGTATTTTAATTTCCAAGGCTGTTAGTCTTTGCATGGGGGCACGCGGTAGTGTAGTTGGTTGAGGCACGATGCTACAGGCTGGAGGGTCGCCGGTTCAAATCCTGATGAGGTCATTGGATTTTTTTTCAATTGACCTAATCCTTCCAGCCGCACTATGGCCCTGGGGTTCACTCAGCCTCTAACAGAAATGAGAGGAATTAATTAAATAATTTTCTTGTGGAGTAAAGCACAACTGGCACATAAGGCTGACAGCTTTACCACCATCTTTGAGCCAGTTGTCTAGATAATGTGGGACCCTCAACATCTCACAACCCTATGGGCCTTCACGGCCTGTTACAGGGATACCTTTACTTACTTTACATTAGTCTTTGTATATGAATAATATCTTAACATTAGTGTGAAACAGTTGCATTTACTTTTTCCAGACTCATTTGCTTTTGTAAATTATAAAAATATGCTAACTGGAGTGTAATGTATATTGTTACTTTCCTTAAAATCAAGCTGTCAGAGATCAGTGTGGAATCCAAGAAAGAGGATAATGGCTGATTGAATAGAAGAAAGGCAGAATGCGACAACCATGTATTATGAATGCTAACTGAATTGTACAGAAACCAAGAGATAACTCTTCCAAAGGTACAAGAACTGAAAGAGGCTCACACTCTGGAGAAAATAGGCCCGTGGCAGAGAGAGGCTTTCTTTCCAGTAACTTAGAAATTAGGTTTACTAAAGCAATACAGAAATTAATTATTTTGTCGCTAAGCAGAAGCTAAGCTAAGCTCCAACAGACGATGATAGACGTGACTCGCGTAATGAAACACGACGTAAGAATGAAATATGCTGTATAATTTTAATATTTTAACACTTAACATTTATCAGTATATATGATAAATATATATTTGTTATTTTAGTATGTATAGACAAGGCATGCAATGAACTAGTTTGTCGTGGATTGGATCAGCACCTGAAGATGGCACATTTGTGCCGAAACATGTAGTGAGAGTGAGAAGAGGGGATAGATGAATGTATGCGCTAGAAGACGGATAAAATAAATCATGGACTTAAATCAGTGCAACAGGACGCTAAAATATAACATTAAGCAGAAATATACTTGTATATACATTCTAGGGCAGGATTTGATATGATGTATGTTTTATTCCAGGGTGTTGTGGAATACTCGTTGAGTCTGTTTTTTGCAAAACTAGTGAGCTACACATTTCTTTATTGGCTTCCACTTTACATCAAGTCATCAAGTAAGTATGGCCATGCTTAATGCTTGCTTCCTTAGCTTATGAATGGGGTTGATTTATTGTAAGCCAGTGGAAGAAGTACATTATCTTGTACAAAGACCAGAAGTTTAAGATCATTGGATAGAACAGAAAGTTATTTGATCATATGTTATCAGAAATTTGTTCAGTAATATCCAAATGAAACAGAGAAGTTTTGAGTTACTGAATAGATTACCGGCCTGCCCCCCTCCTTACAGACAGATATGTATATACCTGCATTTTTTTAAGAACTGTATGTTAATTACAATATATTTACAGATCTGTATGAAATTTAATGTTCATACCTTTTTGCCTTTGAAGACTTCTTTAAATGGCAACTTACCTGCCCTTGCAGCTACATTTAAGTGGCAGCAAGTGTGTGCTCTTGTAGAATGGTTTCAGAAAATATAATTGAAATCTGTGTTGTATATTGATAAATAAATTTCATTCATTGGTCAAAGAAAGACACAGAACAGAAATTAGGCTGCCATCTGTTGAATTGTAGACATACATGATAAGCTGTTTTGACAGATAATCAGACCTAGTTTCAGAAACATTAGCTGACAATGAGTTACTATTCAGTACTGAAATGATACCTTTAAAATCATGCTGATACTGTGACTGTTTAAAAATAAAAACTAATTTCTAACTTCTATAAATTCCAATAATCAATTTAATTAAAGCTACTATAACTCACAAAGAATAGAAGAAACATTACTAAATGTGTTGAAAATATGGTCTGCAAAGCTTACAGTTCCTACTGCTTCAGTACTGACTGTATGAAATATATTTTACGGACAACGTGACTATGCCGCTTTCACTAGTGACACACATAGTGAATGGTGCCATGTGCCACTGGTGTCATCATCTCCAGCTGTGTTTCCTTTGGAAATGATGTTCAAGACTGAGGTCAGCACTGTAAAATGAAACACATCAGGAAGAGTAAAGGATGAAGTCCCTACATACGAAGAATGCTGATAACAGGACCATTCAACATGCCTGTGCAAATGGTGGATTACTCTCTGCATAAAAAATAATAAAAGAATAAGAATTTTATACTGGAAAGTTTGTATATTTTTTCCATAACTTTATTACATGTATTTCTATTAGCTGCATTCCAAATTGTACTTCTTCATTGAATTATGTTGGAAAAACACTTGTTGAGGCGGAGCCCTGGCTTCCTTGGACACCTGTTACAATAAAATGATGTTTCTCTTTTGTCTTTCACTTTTCCGTTCGAGAAACTGCGCAGTCCTTTGTTACCTTCCCATCATGTGCCTGAATTAGGTGCAGTTTGCCATTCAGACAGCCCTCTACACCAGTTAAACTTGGTCTTCCTCTCTTTTCAGGTGATTTGGAAGTTTTTCTGACTGCCAGTTCATGTTGCACATGTTATTTTTCTTACATATTTGGTAGTTTCAGCAGTGTTTCTTCAACATTACACTAAAAAATGGCATAAAAATTTATGTGGAGAAACAGTCATTTGTCTGTTTTGAGGTGATTTATAACCAGATGAGGCACGAAATGGCATCATATAGAAATCATGGATATTTTCGTCCCAAAGAGCCCAATTTTCATTATCATCGTCATCGTCATAACGACCACCAGGACCATCATTCCCACCATTGTCTCCCCCTACATTTGCACTTGCCATCATAATTACTACAACTGCCACACAACCCAGGCCCACATATTTCAATATCAGGGTCAGTATGATGAAATATACCAATATGTGAAACTGACTAAATTCAGTGAAAGAATCTGAGGCATTATGCAGTTGTTCATCGATCTGTTTGCTGTCCAGTGCATGCCCACTGGAAGATACCATTGGGTTATAACTACAGAGAAAAGGTTATGCACACCCTTTGAAAAATCTGTTATAAAATTCACAAAATTATTACAACAAATAATTTGTTAACATCACCAAAGGAGAAGTCATGATGATACACCAACACTGTTGGCCTCCCTCTGACTGATTGTCAGTCTGACATTGGACCAGAATGTGGAATTTAAATTGGTGGACTCAATCCAATATAGGACCTCAAAGGGTTCAGTGATTCAGTATTGAGGGGGTGGGTTTCCCCATGCACCGTGGCTGATAGTCTATTGTACATCCCCCTTTTAATTTCTACCGTCTCCATCCCCTACCGATACTGGTGCTTGCTATCAGCCCCTTTCTGCCAGCGAGGTTTCTGCCCTCTACTTGGCAGTGGTATCTAATAATTAGTTCCTTTCTGTCAGTGAGGTCATCCCTCCTCTTGCAGTGGTACCTAATACTTCCCCATCTATCGGAGGCGTTGGAAACTATTTTGGCGGGAAACTTTTTGGCCTAATTTAGCTCAGAGGCCTCCTAGAGGCATGAGGTTCTTTTACGTGCCGTAAATCTACGACACGGGACCCACAGGTTAAAGTCCTTCCCGGAGGATTTGTTCCCTGAATTTTTCCGCCCTTTAAAATTCCACGACCTCTGCCGGGTTTGAACCCGCGTACCTTGAGTCATGAGGTGGGAACGTTACCCCTAGACTACGGAGGCTGCTACCTCAAAGGGTTAATAATGTAAATTACTGTTCACATTATTTCATATAATAGAACTGAATTACAAATATTACTGTTTGCATTTCGTTTATGTAAATTAGACTGTGGTTATATGTTTATTTTCTGCAACAGCAGTAACATGACACGTACGAGTATTACATGAGACGCAGTCTTTGCCAGGTTTTATGGATAATAAGTGAAAAGTACGAGGGTAAGTCAATAAGTAAGTTACAAATGGATATAGAACTTAAACAAATAAGAGTACTGATTTGAAAAATGCTTTTATTTCTCAACATAATCTCCCTGTACATTGAAGCACTTGTCCCATTTGATTCACAAGCCATTTAAAACCAGCAGCATAAAATTCTTTGGGCTGCTGTTGGAACCAGGTGGTGACTTCCCTTTCTACAGCTTCATCGTCAGGAAAATGTTCAGCCGAAAGATGTTTAAGAGGACCAAACAAATGGAAGTCGCTTGGAGCCACGGAGATTGCCACAGAGGCGAATGTGCAACGGGTTGAAGACTTAATCTGTAACTGTCCCCTTATGGCCCCTACTTTTTGCGCCATTTTGTTTACTGCCTCCTTTTGTTAAACTCGGTTATTATCTTCTCTTGCCCACACACATTGGTCACACTTGTAGGTACTTCTTTCTTGTTCTAAATTTTATCTCAGGGTTACTTAATTCATAAAGAGGTGAGGTTTGTTGGTTCAGTAGAGCTGAGGTTCTCTTATCTCAGAGCCTTGAACGGGCCACAACTCGAAGAAGCAGGATGAACACAAACTACAAAAGCACATATCAAGTTTAGATGTATTATTATTATTAAGCACTTGTTGAGCCACTTCTTAGTACAACTTCAAAATCAGTAACTTTTAAGTTCTATATCCATTTGTAACTTACTTATTGACTTACCTACGTATAATTTTAAAGTTACTTTGAGGACAATTTCCTGGTTTAGAAATGACATGTTTCACACACTTTGGATTGTTGACAGTAGAGAGAGACAGTTGCTGAGACTGTTGTGCATGTAGTTACCCTTTTTGCTAAAAGGTTCTAAAGAGTCATTCGGTACCAGAAAACTGCTTTTACCTGCATTGGAATTGCATGGTAATAGTGATCATTTTGTTTTGATTGTGGCAGCAGCACCTGTTTTGATTGATTGACTCAGAGTGAAGTATGTTTTGTTTGATTTTGACAACTGCATGTTTTGTTTAATTGCTTATGACAGTAGTACATATTTTGCTTGATTGTGACAGCAGCATGCTTTGGTGATTCTGACAACTACATGCTTTGTTTGGTTCTGACAAAAGAACATTTTAATTGATTCTGACAGTATGTTTTGTTTGATTGGTTCTGACAACAGTATATTTTGTTTTATTTATTCTGAGGGCAGTACATATTTTGTTTATAAAAGTCACCTTGGAAAGTGTTACAAATTTCCATAAAGGCACATCCACTCCACAGAATTCAGAAAATATTTATGATAAAATTTATAACCTTGTGTAAGTTTACTGAGGAAGTTTATTCATGCAGAATCACTTATCACATATTTGGGAAGTGCCCAGTTCAGATCTCAGCTAGAACACCAACTTTCCTGACCACGGTTTCATTGCGGTGTTCCTCACTGCCTCCAGGATAGTACCACAGGCTACAATCAATTCCTTTTTCACTAATTATTCTACCACTCAGTGCTGTATAAGATATATTATATACTTTTATATGTATGAGATGGTAATCGAGTTATTAAATAAATGGTAAGTCAGTATATTTATTAAGTTAGGTAAGTTATTTCTTACATTTGGTATGTTTGCTTCTAGATAATTAGTGTCAGGCACTAGATTGCGGCAGTTTATGCACAAAGCACATGCTATCTGTAATACACTAAGTAAAACAAGTTTACAATTGTTTTTAATAAAACTTTCCCTTTCTGTGTTGGCATTTAGCATTTAATTAAATATTTTCAGAATGTGAAACTAAGCCACCAGTTCTTATGCCATAATCATGTCACACAAGGGCACCATTGGGCTCAGCAGGCACTGGTTAGCATGTAAAGACCAGGGCCAGACATATTTACAGTTTCTGTGCTACTGGACCCAATTTTTTTTTTCTTGTTTCCCCCCACCAATTTCTGGCACTACAAAAGTCAGCAGTCATCTCCATAGTAATTCTGTGATTTGTTTTAGCCACTCTGAGTCCTGCAGAGAGTGCACAGTTATCAACATTGTTTGATGTTGGCGGGATTGCAGGGGCTATTGTAGCTGGTGGCATCAGTGACTATAGTGGCATGAGTGCCACAACATGTGCGGGCATGCTGTCTCTGGCCATACCCATGGTAAGTTATGTTAGGTGAGACTAGCATGACCATACTTCGTAGTCTTATGTTGCATGTCTGAATATCACTCTCCACCGGTTAGCGCTTCTGCTGTGTATTTGGAAGTTACTAAGTTCAGTACTCAGCCCAGAAACTCGTCATCCTGACTGAGGTTCTTCCTTGTTTTCCTCAGTTCTTCCAGGAAGATGCTGGGATAGTACCTAAAATTGGACCATGATTGCTTCCTTCTATATCCTTCCAAATTCAAAATACTCTGACCTTAGATATAAATATTTTCCATAGTATCATGTTGTTAGGCATTTGTAATTTGCGTTGTTTCCTCAGAATAACAGACCCATTTTTCATACCCATTATTTGAAAGTATGAAAGTAATTGAACCAAATAATGAGGTGTTCCCATGATTTATTATTTTGACCCTCGGGTCTGTTTTTAGTATTTCTGGATACTTAAATTCCAAAATTTTCCCACATTATTTATTACACACAGTAATTACATATTAGTTACATTATACTGTCCTGTGACAAATTAATATATTGACCTAAACAAGTCTATGATTTATAGTATTCAGTTCCAGACCTTCCTGATCCTCTTAGCCTTTGACAGTGGCACATTCAAGAGCAAAATTAAGAAGCAGGCAGTATAAAGCATCCTTTATTTTAGCCCAACGTGAGGAATAAATACATCTTTTTCACAGCCTCAGTTTAAAAATCGAGCTTATTAATTTGCATTATTGCGTTAAAGAGTGATTTTCCATTGTTGCAGATGTTTGTATATGAGGACTGTGGTACTGGTGGTTATGTGACGAATGTTGTGCTGCTGATTGTGGTGGGATTTCTAGTGAATGGTCCATATGCCCTCATAACTACTGCTGTTTCTGCTGACCTTGGAACCCATCATTCTCTCGAGGACAATGCTAAAGCTTTGGCAACAGTGTCAGCCATTATTGATGGAACTGGATCTATAGGTTTGTAAATCATTATCACTTATCAGTATTTCCAGCTTGAAGTTTTTGCTGTGCAGAGGCATTGTCACTGTTGTGCATTGAACCTTGCTGTTGGGAATGAATCTATTGCCATCTGACTGCCTGCTGTCGTAACACTTTCATCGTGTATGCACACATACATCCCAGGCTTTTTGCTTTCCCATTGCATTTTATAAGCTAGAAACACCGAAATGAAATTGGATTGTTGAGAATAAATCCATTTACATGTATACAGACTTTTAAAAAGTAGCTTAATTTATGTGATTATTTTCACATTTCTTTTGTCTCCTCCTCGGGGCACTACAGTCCATGGTGAACCTTGGGCTCTTACGAAATGCTTGCCATTGGTTCCAGTCCTCTGACTGTTCTTCATTATTAGGGAAAGAACGGTAGCTTTTGAATGGACATGTGCCAGGACTATATCTTGGAATTTTGTCACGAGATTATCTTAGCTGGTTGCAGATCAGTGCTAAAGCTAATGGAGTCATGTCTCGTATTCAATTAAGTGGATGACAGTTGCCCTCCTTGGGGAACTGTTCAAGTTCATCAACTTTATGAGAATGGTTATGAATTGTAAAAGAATATAAGATGCTGTAAGCTTTGTCTTGAATGTTTTTCTAGTAGACAGGATGTGATAACTGAGCCAGTGCAGTCCAGAAGTAATTGACATTGCATTACATAATTATCAAAAATGTGGTTTGGTGTCAGCTTCATACTTTGTCAGTCATTAACAGAACATGCTAATGCCAGAGAAGAAACATTGCTGACTACTGTATCCACAAGTAGGAATGCTAAAGAGTGACACCTCTATAAAGAACATATAGAACTTATACTAGACTGCAGTTCTTAAGCCTACAGGGAAAACTTGGACAAGGAGGTGGAAGGTGAACTGAGTCCTGATGTCACCCACTAAGTGTGCTGCAAAATTTAAGTCTCTTAAAGTAATATCGTGCAGAAAGAGTATTAACTGCTCATGGACTAAGTATGAATCCCTGCTGTTCACACAGTAACCACAAGTCTAGTTATGTCTGAAACTTGCAGTTATGAAAGCAGCTGTCAGTTAAGAACTACATCTGGAGCTAGAAGAGGTTAATGTGTCATAATTTGGGATGACTATAGACAGGGTTTGGATTGGTGAATGGATTTATTAACCATTTATACATGCTACTTGGAACTACAAGCACTTGCAATGCTGTCACTGATCTACACACTTTACAAATCACTACAGCACCTGCTAAGCCTTCTCCAGCCTGCTGAGTCATACCAGCCATTCCCTGGCAACATCTTCTATCAGTGGAGATTCTTCAGCTTCGTGTGCTGAGATTTTACCTTCACAGCCTCTCATGCAGAATTCTACTGAACTCATTGTCAGAGTCAAAGGCAAAGTTACTATGCAACTGACGGTTTACTACCAATCAATTCATCTTTGTGTCAGGCCCCTTGAGACTAGTGACCAGATCCCCCCCCCCAACTGAACCCTTGTGGTCACAGTCCTTATGTAAAATCCTCTGTGATGAGAAGATGGGTTTGCCTTTTATAAATATGCTTGCCCTTTCATCAAGTGTATGTATTGCCCTTATAGCATGTTATTGAAAATTCTCCCTTTTGCACTATATACAAGTCCTCTGTCAATACAGACTTTGCAGAACAGATAATGCCAATCTTAGATATCTTATGCTAAAGCAGAGGTTTTAGTCACTTGAATGGTCGTAAGTTTGACCACCACCAAGTTAAAGCCTCTTAGGTTTTCTTTGTCTGGCTTTGGCTTGTTGTATATTGCAAACAAGTTCATTATCATTATTTTGTATGACTTCTGCATGTTGCTTGCATAGTTTTGTTATATAATTGTATACATATGGAAGGTTGAAAGCTGTGTGCCTTGCGGATCAGTGTGCACCTTGGAAAATTTCCAGTGGTGCAGAGAACCTTGTTTTGTAGGCGCTGCAATTTTAAGAGGTAGGTGTATACCACTTATTCCTAGGCAGGGCAAGTATAAGTCTTTACTTATCTGATCAGTGCCTTGTGGAGGGTTGTTGAAAGGGCCATTGATTATTCACCTCATGATTGTTGCATAGCAATGGCTGTACATGTTAAAATATGGTTATTGTAGGTTAGTATTGCCAGGGCCTGCATGCTCTTAAATATTTTTCTTCTCACTGTGATACTCTTTATCTTAATGATTCATGCAGGTGCTGCTGTTGGACCTCTGCTGGCTGGTGTTGTGTCCATTGTGGGTTGGCAGTATGTGTTCTACATGCTGATGACAGCAAATGTCCTTGCTCTGCTGGTAAGACATCACTAGCTTCTGTTCTTGAGGATCTGTTACCCTTCAATTTATATGCAATGAATCACTCTTAGCTGGTTTGCCTGAACTTCAAGGTGCAGTGAAGATTTTTTTCTCCTGGGATTTTATGCCATTTATTCTGGTTGTGGCTGTTGGCCCAGTCCGTTCCCTCCTATGTCAGGACCCCTGCTCAGCTTACCATTCTGACCTGACATTGAAGGCAGCACATTCACCTCAAAACATCAGTAACAATCTGCATGGCATCCATCCCAGAAGACATTAATCTTCATACATCCTCAAATCTTGCAAAATTACTTGTACAAAACTTTTAGTTCTTAAAAGTGTATTGTGGTCTGTATGCAACTTTGGCTTTCAGGGTTTAGATGCACTTGTGTTACAGCTGCTGTGTTTCAGTGTACACTGCAGGATGCATCACTGAAGAAGACAACTGCAGTGAACACTGAATTTTTTGAAGTGCTTCAACACATGCAGCTAAACCTCAAGAGCTGAACCTACACATTACATACAGGTCATGATAACCTAAGGTTACTTAGTCTAGTAGACGGGTACTGGCATTTCAGAGAAACATACTGTTTCCACTTCTATTTTGAAGCAGGAATTAGCAGGTTCCTTTAGAACAGCTGTACCACCTGTTCGACTACACAGTATTGTAACTGCTGAGACCACAATATCGGAAGGTGTTTTGAAGCAATCAAAAGTGAAAGTTTCTTTATACATGGCAGAAAAGGTGTTACTTATATTGCTAGTAAATTTACAAAAAGTTTTCACTATTACAGATCTTACTAGAAATACACTCATGTTGTCAAATGTTAATTTTAAAAGCAACAGGTGATTAATTGTTGAAACAAATTAAGGATGCATTCTTATATATAGTTCCTAAAAGCAGTTTTTATTAGTTGAAATTAAAAATATCAAAGGTATCTTCTCATAGCTAATATACTGAATACCTATTGAAAACTAAAAGAGCCGGGATAGCTTGGTTGGTATAGTGGTGGGCAATGGGTTGGCTGACTGGGGTTCAGTCACAGGCAGGGGAAAGAGATTTTTCTTTTCTTCATATTATCCAGATTGGCTCTGGGGCCTACCCAGCCTCTGACCCAGTGGGTATTGGTAGCTTTCTCCCTGGGGGTAAAGTGTCCAGGGCATTAACCTGACCACTCACCTCTATCTAGTGCCAAGATCAAAAATAATATTGATCTGTTGTAGATTTCAATCGATTCATCAATACCATGGTCATTACTAAAGCACAATAGACCATTGAAGGTCGCAGTGCTAGGGCCGGTTTTATGGCTCGCCCCTCATACTCTTGGTCATTACTAGGTTTTTGTTCTATGGAACACATGGATCAGGCCACAGTATTAAATATTTGACTGTTGGTATAGGGACTGGTCACTGGCTGGACAACCAAGGAGTCAGGGTTTTGAGTCCCAGTAGGGTCAAGATTTTTCTATTCCAATCTTCCTGACCAGTTCTGGGGCCTATGCAGCTATAAAGTGGGTACTGGAGGCTCTTCCCGTGGGTTAAAGCGGCTGGGGCGTGAAGCTGACAGCTCACCTCCAACTAGTGCTGAGGTCAAGAATATGTGGATCTATATATCCATCCCACCATATTCCTTCATGGTGTTATGCATAATTACGCACAGGGACAACCTTTATACCTCCACTCGCCCACATGTCTTTATGGCATGGTAATTAAGTACAGGGGGAACATTATCTTACCTTACTGGAAATCCAGAGAATATTCCTAGAGAGAGAGAGAGAGAGGGGGGGGGGGCTTTCAGTCAATGCTAAACACAGATTTCCTTACTGTGAAAAGCTTGACCAAAAAATGTTTCTCTGAATTGTTCTTCAAAATGAACATATGAATTGCAATGTCTGAGTCACAATAGGGGCCACAACTATCTCTTTTGTGTAAGTGGAATGTAAAATTACCAGTAGCAAAATGTATAAAGCCTGTAACAATTCCAGCTGTATCCCCAGTGTACAGGCTGAACCACCACAGTTATATTGTTATAGTCACATTTCATATGACTGCTGTAAGCAGTTACATTATAATATGGTTCTCCAATTTAGAAATTCTGAACAATTTAATAAAAACATCTTGCTTTTGTTAATTTTAAAATGTACTATTTCATTAATAATGTATCTTCACCTGTCACATACTGTCATCAGATAGGAGCCACTAGCTTTCATGATTTATCTGCAGTATCTGGCTAGCAGTATATTACAGTCTGTAATGAATGAGGAAGAATTTACAAGCAAATGTGAAGATTATTGTGTTTTGGGGTGTGATGTCAAATAGTCCGGTCAATCATTAGCAACATTTCAGAAGAACCTGCTGCCTCCAACACCATGGTAGGCTTTTCTCTACCCTTCTACCTGAAAATGGAGACTGAAAGTTCCTTTGAAATATTGGTAACAGTCTACCAGACTACATGACATACCAGCCAATAAGACAGTATTCTTCATAGTAAGAACCTCAGATATTACATCCAAATGTATATTTTCCATAATAAAAAATTAAGCTTGCCTTACAATTTACTGTTCTTTATTCCTATTTGTTCCAGTTCCTCACCCGTTTGGTGAAACGTGAGATCCACATCTCAAGACTCCGGTGGTTGCTATTATTTTAATCATAGCTAAGAAGAAAAAGTATTTTAAGTTTTAAGTACTGTCATTTTACATTACTAGTATTTGATTGATTGCTAGTCCTGTAGTGCTCAAGTGTGTCATTCCTGAACTCCCTTGCAGTGTTGCATTTTAATGTTAAGTGTTTCCATTTAAGCAAGTGGGCATATGAAATATATTTTAATTTGATCTATTCTTGTTCATGAAAGGTGTAATGTTTACAGTTTCATAGGCTAATCCTTAAAATCCGTATATTTCTAACAGATTTCTTGAAAGAATGTGGTAAACAAAGTTTTATGTACCTGGTCATGTGTCTCGTTAATTTTGAGGTATTTCATAACTTGTACCCTTCTCCAAGTATAATTAGAATGATCAAGTCAAGGACGATGAGGTGGATAGGGCATGTACCATGAATGAGGGGGAGACAGAATGCATCTAGGATATTGGTGGGAAAGCCAGAAGGAAAGAGACCACTGGGAAGACTAAGCCGTAGGTGGGTGGTCAATATTAAAATGGATCTTACAGAGATAGGATGGGATGGGATGGAGTGGATTGATCTAGCTCATGATAGGGATCAGTGGAGGGCTCTTATGAAGATGGTAATGAACCTTCAGGTTCCATTAAACGCTGGTAAATTCTTGAGTAGCTGCAGAATTGGCAGCTTCTCTAGAAGGGCTCAGTTCCATGAGTAAGTAAGTTTTCATGACCTGACACAACATAATCAAAACTCCCAAGTGGATCTTGGTTTGGTCTAGCCTCCTCCTGTTTGTACAGCCTTACTGTTTCATTCTGCACAAAGTTATGCATGTCAGTGGAATGCAAGTGTGTAAGTTAGAACACACTATAGGATTTTGTGCAGTTGTGCTATAGAATACAATGAAAATTCAAACTTTTGATCTCGGTGATTTAGTGACATAGCCAGAAATTTGAGGACTAGGCTGAAAATAATAGCATGAAAGTCTTTCTCTTGTGCTAATGTTCCACCTTGTTGTACTTGCATAACTTTCTTTCCATATGAATCAAAGTACAGTGATAAAACTCTCCTCTTGTTACCAGCCATGGTAGTTCAAAGCAGAAGTCCAATGTTTGAGGGACCTTCTCTGCCACAGTCAGAGAATGATGAACTAGGTAAACAGTGTGGGTGATACACGTTGCTGAGGTCGCACCTTCAGGGGCAACCATGAACCCAAGGTTTGCAGGCAGAGCCAGATAACTCTTGATACTGTCAGGAAGCAGAAGGGAGGAAACTGAGGATGATGACCTTTGGGAAAACAAATAAATGAAGGTGCTTCCTTGGTTGCTAGATGATGTTTACTAGTCATATCATTCCATAATAACAGAAGCAAGGGGTGTCCAAAATGTTGGACTTCTGCTCCAAATTGATGCGGTTGGTCACCCAAGATGTTATTACTTTTAGCTGCTCTGAAAATCAAAATACAGTTTTAAATATATCAATACATGCGGTATTGTCCATGGAGAAAATGCATAATATATTACCACTGGAAATTTAACTAGCAGCAAAACACCATTCCTTGATAATGATGTGGCACTGCTGCTTTAATTGCTGACAACATTATGTAAGAAACTTTTATCATAAAAATATTCATTGCAGTATTAATTCGGTGAAATAATTTGAGGTCTGTGATTTCCTGATTTTTATATTCTCATTACCTCATTCATACATTTATAGTCAGTATAACAGGCTGTAGATGCCTCTTATTGCTATTAATATCCCCTTTCATAGTGAAAAGTAAGTATACCATAATCTTCCAAACATTCCATTTTGAATTCTTAAAATAAAAAAAAATGTACCAATGAATAAAATTAACGTCACTGCCACACAAACTGTGTTGACACACATCTGCAATGGAAGGGGTCATCACCACAAGCACACAAGACTTGAATATTGCCAACACAGTCATTAACATGTATCTGTGAAACAGATTAAAATTATACTTCAGTGCGAATTATTGATAACTGTAGAGCTTCAAATTAATATGGAACTTTTATGAACACTGTTGGATGACAGAAATACAGTGTGCATTGTGAAGAGACAAAAGTTGTTGTTGGCTTCTGTAATACCATATTTATCCAAATACAGTGTGCACCTTTTTGTGTTATAATTTGAGATTTTGATTTGGGAAGCACAAAGTGCTACATATATGTATATATATAGGGTACAGAAGTAGATTTTGCAGCATTATTTTCCATGGCATGCATTAAAAGGCAGAGCTTCATCTGGGAATGTAGGGGACATGCAGGCTATATTTGCCAAGATATAAACACGTAAAGGGTTTTGAACTTCCAGTATCTCCTGTGTTCTGGGATCAGCCAGTGGGTTGAGCATATCATTTAAACACAAACTTATCAGAATGTTGCGTTATTTGTTCATCCTGTGACATGACAACATTGTAATGTAGAACTGCCCATGGCCACAGATCTTTGTTGGCAGAATGCAGCGATATACCATTGCTGATATGCTCTAGTTTGCAGCATCACACCAAAAAAGTTAGAACTGGCAGTGTGTGAACCATTCAAGAAAACCTGTGTAGCCATGAGAAAGATGAAAATTTGTTTCTGTGTTGTAAAAGACTTCTAGAAACTGTTACACCTTGCTTACTTAGCTAATTATGGTATTCTCAGCCACACTGTTCATTCACAGCAGTCTCAGTGGTAGTGAATTAAAGCAATTATGATCATTTAGAACAGATGTGAAATAGAATGGCAGTTGTGAGTCACTTGTACAGCGGTGACATCAGACAACCATTCCATTGGCGTGCCAGGAATCCGGAATGGTTGATTTCCTAGACAAAGGCTGCGATAAGAAGGTATACTTCCATGGAAATGAAACACCAGCGGACTGTTGCCTAGGAATACCTTATATAACAAACACGTTTCCCCAGAGATGAAGGGACAACAAAAATGCATTGTTGCATAACCGTGGTTGAGACCAAAGGCTCCTACATGGTGCAATCTATTCTGTCCAAAAGCAGGTTATATAAGACTGCAGCTTCAACAACTTGAGAGCAGTTTGTAGCTGACCTTAGAAGAGTAGTCAATCTTCAGTTGGCTTTGAGGCAGTAATTGTGATTGCGAATAATTGTACTTGTAAGTGTAGAGGACATTGGCCAATAAACATATTCGCCAAATCCGAGTCCTGCGTGAACTTATTTGTCGCGTTACATAGGCAACACGCAACAATATTTGCTTATGCAAGAATGAATGGGAAAGCAAAAGTGTAGTCACTCTGCCACCCAGCAACACAAATGTGTGCAGCTAAGTGCCACTCAGTCTTGCATCAGCCATAAGTCTGTGAAACCGATTATTGTTAAGAGAAGCATAACAGGTGCAAAACTATGAGTATGTTCTGGCCAGCAAGTTTGATATATGAGAGAAAACTGCATCCAAGATTAGAGAATAAACAAGATCTTTTTCCACAAAACACAATTAAAAAAGTTTAGAGGGGTGTAAAGGTGATTCAGTTTGGGAGACAGCAGCAACAGCAGCAGTACAGTGTAACTGTAGGGACAATTATTTTTCATGCAAGTGTGGTTTTATCAGCTGCTGCATATACTGAATATCTATAGCATGCAGTAGCCACAATATTATAAGTCATTGTTTGGTTTTAGTTTCACTTAAAAAAAAATACTTTTAATAAGAAACTGACATGCTTGTCTAATTCAGGGTGCATGGTATTTGAACAAATATGGTAATTCTGGAGAATGAAAATTAACTTTAAGAAAGCAGTCTTCTGGGATTTGGCACCGTGTATATGTGGTGTTAACCGACGTTTCGGAGGAACGTATCGCCTCCATCTTCAGGGTAGAAGAAAAAATATAAGAAATCTGCGAGCGAAGAGACCGTGATAACCGGTAAAAGCAGACACAGTCCCTGAAGATGGAGGCGATACGTTCCTCCGAAACATCGGTTAACACCACATATATATGGTGCCAAATCCCAGAAGACTGCTTTCTTCATAGTCACCGCCGTGAAAGCCTCAAATCTTACGAAAATTAACTTCCTTTCCACTGCACACAGGAAGAGATTATGTAGAATAGTATAGCAAATGGTATCTTAAATCACAGGAAGTGAAAGTAACAAACTTCTCTCACTTGGCATACTTTGACCCAAATGGCTCTGAGTTTATGAAATTGTATTTTACAGGTAATTTTATATGTACAGTGATCTTCAGACATATATTTATAATATGTTGCCACTTTATATTGTTTTAACTGTGAATCATGCATTTAATGTACAAATTCTATAACATATAACTCATGCACATTAATTTTTAAGCATCTGTATTGTCCTATCAGCTTGCAATATCAATTATATATTGCAGATAATGTTCTGAGAAATGCTCATCTGGTGACATCTTTGCCATCACCATGGTTGTAAATGTCATGACTATTTACATTAAATGATCCAGTATACCAAACAAAGCAACTCCTCTGGTCATTAATTCCATTGTTCTACATTCATTTTCAGATTTTAAAATGTAACTTCCATGCAAGCTTCTAGATGTATTTCCAGGCAATGTGGAGTGCTCATACTCATTGCTCACATGGCAAGACTGTAACAAGAGAGTCTGTTCTGAGTAATTAATAACTGTCACATCAGTGGAAAAAATCAGTATTATTTTGGATGTCATGAAGAGTATAGTAATATGGATTGTAACACTGTATAGGCCAGAGAGCCTAATATTTTGGGAAAAACATCACTTTCATCTTCAGGATTGAAGAGTAAGCAAAGCAAGAAACCAGCTGAAGCAGACAGCTAGGTGGCACTCATATCTTTACAACCCAGAAGACTGTACTCTTCATAGTAAATACTATTATACCTATGAATGAATGAATGTATAAGGGGTGGGTCTTCTTGGCCCTTGCACCACATCCACAGTGATCTATATGCCTTAATGGCATATACTTCTACCTGGAATACTGTCATGTACTGCCCAAGGCTGAAACTAGTTTCCACCTCGTGCCATAGCAGAACACACCAGCTCCAGTGCCCTTATTTATGTTGGAACCATCTGTATACCAGATCAGTCCCCCTTCTCTATCGGGCAGAAACCCGTCTTCCCATTCACTCCTGTCAGGAAATCTGACTGTGAAGGGTTTTTCATATACATGTCTGAGTATCATTTTGTCCAACCCCATTTGTAATATGGGGTTCTTTTTTCATGTCCTGAGT